TATACGCTTATCATGGTAAATCTAGCTGCAGATCTGTAGCTCTCCGAAAAAAAAAATATTAATAGACCGGAGAGCTACAGTGCCACCCATTGAAAAAACTGTATATTTATTGCGCACAAAAAAATGCGCTCGGTTTTCGATTTATTTTCCCATGTTTTTAAAACTGCAATCTTAAAATATTACTAACCGTATGTTCCTAACACATTCTTTCGCTGTTTCCAAAACCAAACATTCCTCATAATTGTTGTTAATAGTCCTCCTGATCCTGATATTGTAGTCATCGAACATATCTTTTATTTATACTGCCATTTTGGTTTCAAAGATAATTCGGTCGAATATGCTTCGTTCAGATGTCAACTACGAGAGTAATTGATAAAGGAGAGAGGAATTTTTTGGAATCTTCCCTTTTTTGCAGTTGAGGTAAGAATTTGGAAGAATTTATCAAGAACCGAGCGCATTTTTTTGTGCGCAATAAATATACAGTTTATTCAATGGGTGGCATGTAGCTCTCCGGTCTATCAATATTTTTTTCGGAGAGCTACAGTTCTGCAGCTAGGTAAATCAGAAGAGCATTATTAAAAGATTCCACATAATTAGTATCAATACAATTCACATAATCATTCGGAGTTTTGTAAATTCGTAGTTTTCTTATTTCATTTCTTAAAATTCTTTCTGCATCTGAATCCTTGAGAACATGTTTGGATGGTTCGTAGTTGGGATCACATCTACATCTCGATTCTGTGGAACAATTTTCATGATTATTCTTATAATGTTCAACAATGTTGTCCAACAATTCTCGCAAATTTTTTGATGATCCTTGGCAGTTTTTCATGACATAGTAAGTATGTGTTTTAATGGATGCAACTTTATCTGACAGATCTGGACGCCATGTAATACCTCTGTATTTTAATGGGTCATTTGCAATTTTCTTTATTTCTTTTCTAACATTTTACTAGCATGCTATGTATCGTTTGCATTTGTCACAGATGGCTTATTTACAGACAAAAATTTGTTCACACTTGCATTTCTGTCGTGACCATGGACATTGACAGAAACATCCCCTCTCTTCAAAATGGCTGTAAAGAAGTTCAACTCCTTTCATCTCATGTCTTTGACTTACAGGGTCGTCTTGCCTTGTAACAACCTCCAGTCCAACAACCCGATGGTGGGTTTGGCCTATTGCAACAACATCTGACTGGGCTGCATTTCTTCTCCAACCATAGCGGGCATCTGTCATGATATTTATCCCATTATATTGAGTCCCATTCTCTTCTGATTTTAGAATTTCTGTTGCTACTTCTTCATTAATTGCGTCACTTACGGACTCCTCGGCCATTTCTTTAGTCAAAGAACAATAAAGATCATGCTGGCCTTCAAATGCGCTTTCTGGTATGGTCCCTATATTGCCAGCCTCACAGAGTCGCTTATACTGGCTATACCGTAATCCTGTTGCATAGACAGAATGCATCATTCTCAGGTTTGCAAGAAAAATTCCACCTGGCAAATGTTGTGACGAATCTGCCGAAATCAAGTGATTTTCCTTGCAGGTAAATGTCATCTTAGCGGTATGACCAAACCTTTGTAATTTCTTTATGTCCAAAAACTCCTGACAAGTTTGGCTATGATGTTGTATTCCAGAACAAATATTTCTCATTGCAGAATACGATGTTAAAAACATATCCTCATTTGTTGCCTTTTGGTCACATGGTAAATACGGTTGAAAGTTAAGGTTTTCCTGTTGAGGTGCAGTATCTGTTAATCCATGCATTTGGATGAAAAAGTCAAATACATTGTTCAGTAACTGCTCATTTGTTACAGATGACACTCTTTCAGCCAAAAAAAAGTTTTATTTTGTCCATCTTGTTAACGTTGTAGACAGAAACTTTTTCTTCTTCAGATTTAACGTAAAATCTTATACATCCTGTAACAAGTGGGTTTTCTTGGACTTTTCGCCTTTCATTCCTAACTTTCATTTTTTTCTCCAGCATCAGATCTTCTTTTCTTTCTCCCTTGCTGTTCTCTATTCTCATCTCGTATTCTCTTTGTTGCTTGTTCATCCATCTTTACTTACGTCTTATCATGTAATAACAGACTTAGTAAATATACAAGGAAATTGTCTATAAAGTCAGCAGGTGGTATAAGATCTACTTTGGTCAGTATGGGGTGCCATGGGGTAGTCAGAATTGAATATAAAATTAGGAATTTATACAACATGCCATCATACTGTGTGTTTCTTTTTTATTCTACATATTTTTATTGATATTATAATAAGTATACATTTATTTTTATGGCTTACTTAAAATATATTTACAAAAGTGTGTAGCTTTGTGACACAAAAATGTGGCCTCCTTTTTGTTACTCAGCATCTCTAACCATAAGACAAGAACACTTCAGAAGATAGAGGGTAATGTAATAAAAACAGTGCATGTCACTGCATGATCTAGACAATGTTATAAACAATTCGGACGTAACATTTTAATAAGAATCGGTAGTATACAAAATATCTAAATTATCAATAAATAAGTTTAGAAAAAAATCTTTGCGGACAGTAATATGCACTACATTTTGATGCCACCATACCCTTGACTTATATCAACTCTTCCAAAGCACATGCTGTGAAGTTTGGCAGGAAGACTTCTCAATGGTCAGTCAGTTTTCTTTGTCTTGACCATTCCATTGGAAGCCATATCAGTGAAGGAGTTATCATCGTGTTTTGCTAATTTTTTGTGTTATGTCTGAAACAAGGAGACAAGTTTGTTTAAATCTTACAGAAGTTGAACTCAATTCCATCCAAGCTTTGTTTTCACATAGTGAATGGGATTTTGATTCTTGTGTTGTTTTCAATAACTAGTCAGAGGGAAATACTGATGAAGAGATAAGACCTGCTGTAAACCAAGAGATAATAGTCTGCAGCACAAGTGAAAATCCTGGCCGGAATGAGGAGCAGCAAGCAGCGGATGGTAATCCTGGACATGGAGATGATGATGTAATCCCACAGGTCAATGGCCAGGAATGCATACATTGTTTTTGCCATCCATGTGTGACCACAAACAGACAGAGCTGGCTTGGAAATGGCGCACCACCCCATGACCGGAATTCCGCAGGAAAACCAAATATAAAAAGTTTTGGACAATGATGTCAAGAAGATATGCATGGAATCATCCGCGATACATTGCCAAGAAAGCAGAAAAACTAAATCAAGGTGGCAATGTGACGGACAATACAGTGTGGACACTCCGAGAAATAATGCCCGAATGTGTTTTGTCTCTAGTGAGGAACTTGTATCCTAATCCTTCAGGGAGACCGTACATGGGACACAAGTGGACATGAAAACTATATTAAAATTATGCAACTGATGTGAATTAACAAACTTTTTTCAGTATTTATTAATTATATTTGTTTAATTATTGATTGGGCATGGATATATTCAATACAACATGGAATATCACTGCAGTAAGTGGCTAATAAATTTGTTTCTGTATTCACATGGCTCTGTTTGTTTACATCTCTGCTTTGTTGATTACAATTCAGTATGACCTGGGGTCACCATTCCATATAAAGAGCAGAGGTAAATTTGAAATCGGTTCACTTCAGATGTTTTGATGTATATTTTGGCAAATAAAAAAATTATTCAATGAATATTTTTTCATACAGGGATAGCTAGATAGGAAATGTGTTACTGTGCCAAATTTTGAGACAATACAACATAATAAGATGTGATTACTTTTCAAAACATCTCTGCTCAGCTGAACATGTAGGAGAATATGTGATTTTCAAAATTTAGCTCCTCCCATTTCCTTTTATACTCCAGGCCTGGGTTTAAGCGTCTAGATATACACTATGTTGTCCTTTACAATGTATGGGTTATGAGACAGTGATTCCTTAATGCCCTGTCTTTTACAAGTTTTTTTTGGTGATATCAGGCAGTTTTGTTCAAGGCGGAATTTCTGTTTAGATCAAATATTTGTGTTCATCAGTTAAAGCAATATTTTGTGTTTCGTGGGCTTAAAATTCTTGGAATGACTTTATATACAATATATGAGACTTATGGAGAAATATATGAACTCTGTGACAGAGAGGGAAAAGAGGAGAGAATTATTAATTATCAGGTAAATTTATCTTAATTATTGAGGATGAAAAAATGACTTCTTTGGGGAAAATATGGAAAATTGTATATATTGTATACAGTGGAGCCTCATTTATCTGGACGCTTTGGTTCCTAGTCAATTTGTCCGGATATATGTGAAGCGTCCGGATACCTGAATTAACAGTTAAACAATACAAAATAACGTTAAAAAATTTTGTTCCAATGAAAAATCGTCCGGATACTGAAGCATCGGGATATCTGAAGGTCCACTGTATATGTTCTGTGTAAATTTCATTCAATAATGAATTTTACCTCAGCATGTACAGTTTATTTATCCACTAGGTGCATTTAGTTGAATTAATAAAATAATGCTTGCAGTTTCTATGTATATATTAAATATAAATGTATAAATTGCGCAGAAGAAATAAATATCAAGTCTTAATAATATTTGCAGTCATGGATATTTTTAGATTAATCATGTATGCAAAGGGTAATTTTGCAGCCTTGCTATTAAAATTGGAAAAAGTTTCTTTGCTGCTGCAGTTTTATATTCCATGATAAATGTAATTTTCATTGCAATCCAATTGGGTATCAGATTTAGCTTCTAAAGACTGAAAATGACTTCAATTTCCACTATTCAAGGGCAAAATTCCTTGAATAATACTAAAAAAATTTTAAACTTGCATTATTTCAGTGTGGTTGGAAATTTAATCATTTCGCATAAGAATTTGCTATTCTTTGATTTTGATTCACTGATGTAAGCTAGTTCTCCCTTTCTTCGATTGTAGACTAGTTTGTGGATAAAGTTTCTTGATCATCCTTGTTAATTTTTTTTTTTTGAGATGACAACAGAATCCCTAAAACTAATTTGTGGATAACGTTTCTGATCATCATTGTTATTTTTTTTTTTTAGATGGCCACAGAGTCCCTAGAACATCGTGAGGAGGAGGAAGAGGAATGTTCGGTGGACGGTTACGACCCGGGTCTAGAGAATACGGCCCGGTCCTCCCCCCTCCATCTCTCCGACACCGCGCTGTCGGGTCACACAGAGGAACACTGCTCCTGGGACAGGCAGCTGGAATACATCCTGGCCTGCTGTAGCTTTGTCAACGGCGTGGACAGCATTCTGTGGTTTCCAAAGATGGCTGCTTCACATGGGGGAGGTTTGTAATAAGTGAAGAAAATTGCACAAGATGTTAAGTATGGTCATATTTTTGGAAAATCAAGAAAAAGGAAAAAATTAACATGACTTTAAGTTAATAAACTGATTGTTGGGTAAGCTATATAGGTGCCAAAGTTTTAGAGCCATTCAATGTTACGTAGATTCAGAAGTAAAATAAACAAGAGGAGTTTGCTTGATCACTCTCTCTCCCCTGACTGAATTTGACAATCTTTTATGAGAAAAGTGCAAGCAACTGTGGTTTCAGATGATTTTCAGTTGGAAAGTCTGATTCTATAGTTTATGTAATTGTATTACAAATGTAATTTAGTTCTGCTTAGCAATATAATTGTAAAATAGAAATGGAAATCTTCCAAGAAAAGCAATAAATCTGCAAAGCAGAGGAAACTTTTCATTATCTCATCTCATATCTCATTAAACAAAGTACATTAAGTTATGATTAGAATTTTTTTATAGGTGTGTTTTTTGTGATTTACCTGTTGCTGACCTTGACCTGTGGGTTCCCTCTACTTTATATGGAGACCACTCTGGGTCAGTATGCCAGAGGGGGACCAGTCATAGCCTGGGGCGTGGTGCCTTTATTCAGAGGTAAGCCCCAATTCCCCAGCGTTATAGCTTATACTCAGGTTAAGCCCAGATTCCCCAGCGTTATAGCTTATACTCAAGTTAAGCCCAGATTCCCCAGTGTTATAGCTTATACTCAGGTGAACAGTGTTCACACAGTCTGCTAGCTATATAGGCCTGATTTTAAAGCTTGCTAGGTTGTGAAAGGGGGGATTTTGAAGTTAATTTAAATGATTAGTGTGTCATTTAACAATTAAATATAACAGTTACAAGGCATAATAAAACATACAGTATAAAAGTCACCACTTTGACAAAAGTAGGTATATAAACATGTAGAGAAACCTGCCCCCAAAATGAACTTTGTATTCAAAATATAGGAAAAGATATTTTCTGAAGAAAAAATAGTAATGTTTTTCCCCTTTTAAAGCTAGATTTTCAAGGGTTAGAATTTTCAAGTTAAATAAGCCAGTTGATACATGCAATGTCCTTGAACAGCATTGGATTTTTTTTTCAAAATGGCATCCTTTCCGATGGCTTTCTCGACAGGATGAGAGAAGATAAAAGGAGAAAGTAGGCAAGGCATTCTTCGGTGTTCCTTTATAATGTAATGATGAAACGATGCCCAAATGACCGTGATAAAAGTTAAAAGATTTAAATTATCAGAGTGCAGCGTCATCATCATCTCTTAGCCTTTTTTCCTCCATGATAATGCATATTTCAAAAGAATAGATCTTCCTTTGTAGGGTATTGACTCCGCCGCTTCTTTAAGTTAATTCATTGTTTTCACTTTTATTAACCTTAACCTAGTTTTTTTTCTCCTTGACTTGACATCTGTGTCAAAGCATCTGACCAATTCAGACAGTTTGTCTTAGATTTTTTTTTTCCTGAGAGCAGGGACAGTACAATAATGTCCCTGGAGAGCAAAAAAAATCATTAATATCTATTACCATTATAGCATCCTTATAAAAATGTATGTTTTGAGTGCTTAAGTGAATTTTCTTTGTAATATTTACATCTGTCTCCTGAAAGCAGATAAATGAGGTGCATGGTCATGAAGAGCTTGAAGTGTGCCTCTTCTGAAGTATAGAAATTGAATTCATGGATCAGGGTTTCCTGTGTAAGGGTTGGACTTTATTGATCATGCATTTAGTAAAAATACATGAAATTTGAAAATCTTCTGTGATCCAAATATTATATTAAGCAAGCAGACTAAGAGCATAGGGCATCTCTTCCAAAATCGTGACAATCATGGCCCCTGGTCAGGGTTCTATTGACCACTTCGTGAAAATGCATTAATCTTTACAATTCTTCTCCTCCTTAGTATTAAGCAAACAAATTAAGTTCATGGATATAGTGATAAGCAAGGGTGCCTTCTCTGAAATTGAGAAATTTGTGGTTCCTGTGGCAGGGGCTGTGATTTTAGAGCAGGGCTCTTCACCATATAGTGAAAAAGTATTTATTCATTGAAAATCTCTTCGCTTCTCCTGAGAATTTAGCTGATAAAGTAAATGCATATAGAGTTATAAGCAAGTGTGGCATCTTCTAAATTAGTGAATTACATGGCTAATTAATTACGGAGGTAAAATTGATATTTGCAAAGTTTTTGTACCAGATTTGTGAAATATATAAGCCTATGACTGGGTTAGGGGTTCTGGGGTTACTGGAGCAGAGCTTTTTGAATATGAAGGGAAAATTCTCAGAAGTTATTTCCCTTTAGGTTGATTATTCACCGATGAAAATTAATAGGATTATAATTAACCACTATTTAAGGTCCTTATGCTACTTGTTAAAATGAACACTTGAAATCACTTCATAATTAAACTTGAATCTAGTCCGATTGTACACATATAATCATTGAAGGAAAAGATTAACACAATAAAAAAAAAATTATATTATATCTTACTTAAATATGCTGGTAATAAGCAATTTATTAAGCACCCTAAAAGTTTATTATTTTTACATTTTGTTTATGATTGGAAAAAATTATTAGCATATCCAGTATATCATATTTCATTGTTTTTTTTTCACATTAATTAATAGTTAATTAATTGATATGTCTTTAATTAATAATACAACTATATTAAGCTTCTCCTTTAGAATAAAAAATAACATATTGTACCAGGTAAATATTTAGAATGTCACAGTAGGAAAAGATTAAAACGCTGTGTTAGATTATAGAACTTATCATGAGGTATTAAGATTATGATATACAGAGGTCGACCTCTGGCTAACTGTTTACATATGTACGTACTGTATGACTCACAGCACAAATATCTACAATATGGGCAAGATCATTGTAGAAGGCGATATATTTCCTACAAATACACACAAAAAACTCAGCTCTTAATAAAATAAGATTGTTTTTTTCTTGCTTCACATATTTCTGTCCACATGTTAAGACATTTAATCTAGTTTCCGGATGAGCGCATTCACTACTTGAGAGTTATATAGATTAAATATTTGTGTACATAGTATTATGGAAATGCTCAGGTAATTTTTCTGTTAAAATTCAGTACCTGACAGAGTCAAGTATAAAGGAATGAACGAGATAGAGTATGTAGCTCCATTAAAGTATTGATCTGTTTAGCCTCAAGCCGTCCTTTACGAAGTAACGCACGATTTTGTTAGCATATAGTACTTGTCAGCCGGAATAGCTCAGTTGGGAGAGCGTTAGACTGAAGATCTAAAGGCCCCCGGTTCAATCCCGGGTTCCGGCACGGAACAATCCGGCGGCTGACAGCCACATTTTTTTTTCATTTATACGGATATTAAAAATATTTTTGGGTGATCTTCCGTAAGTTTTATGATCATATATTAATTAACCTCATTTAGTATAGAAGCCTTCAAAGCTTAAATTTAGTGTAATGTATTGAAAAAATATTTTCAAAATAAAGCCAAAATAAAATTGTTGTTTACTGGAAATTGCATCTCCTGAGGTTTGTCCTTGAATTTTTTTTTATCAAACTTGTGATGTGTATTTATCACCCCAACGAGGCTAAAGATAAAAACACAAGACTCACTGGATTAAAAAATCCTTTCCAACGTACTACAATCCTGGGACATCCTAAATTTATAGATGAAACTATATATATCCGAATCAAAGAAATCGGACTAAAACTAGATGCTGTATTTTGGACAATGTTTTGCATTCCTTGCCTTAATATGACTTGACGTAAATAATGAAGTAGATGATGCATGTCTTTAAATTAAACCGCGCTCCCCTAATGATTTGATAATTTAAAAATAAAAGAAATTAATTCTAAAAATTATTAGCCAGATATATTATCCCGGTGTGACTGGTTGAAAAGCAATTAGCAAGGGACTGTCCATCCATTTGTCAAGTCCTCAAAATTATGTTTTGGAAAACAATTATATTAAAAATCTTATTCAATGTAACTACTACCCGAAGAATTAAAAAAAAAAACAAACAAACAAAAAACACTGAAAAAAATTTGATGAAAAAAAAAAAAACAAAAAACAAAAACAAATATTGCATGTGATTGTTTTTCAAATTATTACATTTTGATAAATGTTAGTTTTAAAACATGTTTTTAAAAAATGAATTATATCCTCAGCATAAGCATAAACTTTATTTCTCTAAATTAATCAGTTAATGACTATATACCGTGTATCACTTTTACAATGAAACGCATACATGTTTCATAAATATTCGATGGATGGAAGAGCTAGATTTCTGAAACATGTTTATAGGCAGTGTGCAGTAAATCTCTCTCTCTCTCTCTCTCTCGTATTATTATTTGTTTGTTTTTTTTTTTAATCGGCAAAATTCATTTTAAGCGGCAACGCATTTCGGCTTGAAAGCATACAAGTAATTTCTTGTAAGTACGAACAATGTTCATGAGAAAAGCGTGTTAACTGAAAACACTGAGTAGTAGAAATATTTTATGCAGTTTACAGTGTTACTTAATTAATTAACTCTCAATGTGCAAATAAAATAAGAGAAAGCTTAAAATTTTCTTTCCGCAATAAAGATGAAACGGGGTGCTTTGTTGTGCATACGGTCGTGCATAATAAATTGACATATCGTCCTTTTGCTATACATGTATATGTAAAAGAATTAATATTATTTCTATCATTTACATGTACACCTCTATAGCCTACCCTGTCAACGTATAGGATTAACTACGCAATGAAATATATTAGCTTGTCGTAATTTTGTAGTAACATGTACACAGTACACACAAGGAACAGCCCTCGGTGTTAACATTCCAATTTTTTGTATTTGTAGAAGACGAAGCATATACAGGGAAAGTCATTTTAATTTATTAAGATCAGTCTTTTTTTGTGAATTTAAATGTAAAGTTAATGTTTTTGAAACATACAACATTATGTTTAAAAAAAAAGGGAAGTTCATGCAGACGGCAGTAGGAGAATCTTTGGGGCGGGGGGGGGGGGGGGGGGGGGTGTCAAAAATTATAATCCACCCGGTTTATGATTTTATATTTTAAAACTGTCAAAATGTTGCAAAAATCCAAATCCTTTGTCTTTCACAAAGGTGTGAAATTATACCCAGTACAGTGTCACTGTAAGACAGGAAATCCCTCTCCGCTTGAATGCGCACAATACACAGGAATCCACCAGTTACTAAGGAGACCACGATTAGTCCGTGCAGCTACATGTACACTGAGTATACATGTACTAGATCTAACAAGGACAAAAAAATACTTACCAATGAAAAATGCACATAAAATGTTCCGATATTGTTTGTGGTGTTTATGAATTTCTTTTTCAGTAAATTTTTGATAACGCGCTGTAAATAGTCCGAATAGAATTTTGCAGTAATAAGCTTGGTTTTTTTTTTTTTTTTGCACTGTTTGGTTGAATTTTCATACATAAATACAAAATTTTCTAAATCAACTTAGCTTCTATCTACTGATATTTGGAAAATAACCCCCCATCCAAAGTTGTGATTGTGCTGAGTTTTGTGTAAGACACATTAATAGAGTCCAAGTAAATAAGGGGGAAGGGGGGATGAAGGTTACATCAAAATTGACTTTTTACACGAAAGTAATCATGGTAATCTGCATATCGTAAATTTAAATAATTAATTCAAATTTGTATTAAATTATATGATCAATGTAAATGTCATTGTGAAGTATGTTAAACATGTACGACAGTTGAAATTTACTGGCACGGACGTGTACACCAGGGGTAGGGCTGCTGCAGGGGATCGCACCTTGTCCAGTGTACAGCTGTGAGGACCAGGTATGCGTACCAGGTCTAGCTCTAGACATTATGTAATTTTATTTTATCTTCTACGGATTGGTAGGCCATCAAATTACACACACATACACACCCTACTGATTTCAAGAACATTGCCCCAGAATAAAGGAATGACACTTTACAGACGACTCGGAGAATGATGATTACATAAAAATCTTCTGCGTATTATAATATTATATTAATAATTTTAAAACACTTTCATTTATAGACCCACTGAAAGTGACACTGCGATAGATCGTTTCTTTAATCAATCCACTATTAACATTAAAAAAAAAACACGCTACGAAAATATAAATTAATATTGAATATCATGAATAGCATACTGGGTGTTTATCTTCCATTGTCGTATAAATATATCACATACAGCAATTTATATCGAAAGTCCTGGATCTAAATATTAGAATGAATGCATTTAAAAAAAGTAATTCAAGAATTAGTAAACGCTATTTAAAAATTGCTTTGACGATTGTTATAATTATTTAGATACATGAGAGTATATTTTTAAAAAAAAAAAAAATTTTCATTTTGTACTTGAAATATTTTAACGACTATGAATTTTAAAATATCATTAATTTCGTTTTATTTTGTTTTGGTTGATATTTTCAAAGGTAGGTAACTCGCGTTTTAAATCAAGACTGTTTTTTCACCTGTAATCGGTAAGATGCACCGCGACGGTGTGATCTACCTGGATTACTGAACCGCGGGGGCACGCGGTTTTTACCTGAGACACCTGTACTAACCGCGATGAAATTCGCACCGCGGGGGTGCGCGGTAAATGCATAAACCGCGTTGACTGTACTGTAGATGATGCATGTCTTTAAATTAAAGGGAAAAACTAATGATTTGATAATTTAAAAATAAAAGAAATTAATTCTAAAAATTATTCAAGTATCATTATCCCACTGGTTGAAAAGCAATTAGCAAGGGACTGTCCATCCATTTGTCAAGTCCTCATTATGCTTGGGAAAACAATTATATCTCTCTATTAATTCTGCTACTTCTGTACCGGTATCTACATAGTATAGCACTGAATAAAATTTGATGAGGTTTTCTTAGAATCTTTATTGCATGTGATGCTAATGTGCACCTCCTTTACATTTTGATGAAATATTTTGCGTTTCTTATAGGAAAACATGGATAATGCCAATCTTTCTGTAAGATTGGGGATACGCATCTATTATGCGGAACTCCTCCTATATCACTAAATGAACTTTCTCAGAATTTTTATCACAAAGTGGGATTGTGCTACCCCAACTTCATAGTTTGATGAGACACATTTTGGGTTTCCCATTTTTACCATCAACATTAGCATGTTTTCAGAGGGAAAAAAATAAGTAATCAATTAAAAATTAATTTTGATTTGTTTTGTAGGCCTGGGAGTTGCTGTTATCATGGTGTCTACAATGATAAACCTATACTATGGAACCACTACTATCTGGGCAATGTACTATCTGGTCCAGCCTTTATTTTCTGCCAGTACCTGTAACAACACACAAGGTAAGACGGCTTATCTTGGAGGACTGACAACATGTGCACGTTCCTTGATTATTGGGTTTCTATCTCTTTAGCGACAAATTATCCAACATTATCTTCTGATTTTTTTAAAATTATTTTTCAAAAGTGCTGCATTTCATTTCCAGAATTTTGCATTGCATTTCCAACAATTTTTAGTTTCATTTCTGACATTTATATATCACATTTCAGAATCTGCAATTTTTTGCAGGTACATTTCCAACAATTTAACGTAAACAAAACAGATGGAAATCAAAATTATTTTTTGAGAAATGTATCATTTGACCTTAACATTATATTCAACTTACAGATCATTCTGTTAAACAGAAAAAAAAACAATGTTTGGAAGTACAAACAGAATGCTTATTCCAAAAGTCTTTGACCTTGGGAATTCAATTGAAAGAAATTAATACATGTATTCACAAACAGCATAAGTACTAATAACATCTGATATTGAATGCATATTATTACTTTTCCTCCCAATTAGGCTAGCTCAATGAGAATAGATTGTTATATAGTGTCAGGTTCTTTTTTACCTTTCATTATTTTCTGAATTAATAATCATGTTTCTGAATGTCTCCTATGTCATACTTTCATTCATAAGAAAATCATAGGGGTACCATTTTCATCAAATCCTCATCATTATAATTTACTTTTTTGCACTGCCTGATTATAAAGCAGAGACAGGTTGTATGAATGAATGGTACCATGCAGCCTTGCTTTGTGACAAAGGATTGGCTTGTAATGATTATGCTCCAGTTTCCATTGGTCAATTAGACAAATTCAAGGCAACACTTGTAATTAAGGTCCTTTGTATAAGGATGTACTTGATTGAAGAGACCATGAGATTTTTTCTAGATGGTAATGTTGGATCAGGTGTGGTCTTTGCCAGACCTCTGTAAACTGAGCAGTGTGATGGTCCATAATTAAGGACTTCATGTCTAACCCGCATATACGTGTACACTCATATACATGTAACTGAATACGAATAAGGAAATAAACTGGAAGTAAAATAGTATCAAGCAGAAAGCAATATTTCAGGGAGGAATTTTGTACCGTCCCAAGTGAAAAAAATCCTCAAACAAATCACTTTAAGAAATCACTTATGAATCAGTGATTTGAAGATGATTTGTACGTGATGCAAATTCCCATGCAAATGAGCTAACAAATCACTCCTAACAAATTGTAAGCAAATCACCCTGAAATCACAATGAAATCACTTTGAATAAATCGTGTAGAAATCACTTCTGTTGAACAAATCGCAACCAAATCACTCCGAATAAATTGCAAACAAATCATTTCAAATAAATTGCAAACAAATCACTTCAGTTTAACAAATCACTTTCAAATCACTCCAGGTGGATACACACTTGTATGCATGATGCTCATGTAACCATCCCTCAAATATTTGAAACACACATGCATGCATACCGGTATATTTGTTGTACGGTATATTAACAAAAAAAATTTTGGCAAGAGTATTTTAAAATACAAACTTTTACATGTACTAGGATGCGTCCTCATTAAGATAGCATCATGTATTTTAGATACACACATATGTACTTTCATGGCTCCAAATTCAGAATATGATGTAAGCATTCATTAATGTTGACTTTTAGAAGTTGGTAAATGTTTTCTTATCTGAAATAAATATTTGTCTAGACACTTTGAAAAAGCCAGTACTTTGCTGAAGCTTATAGCGTAATTTACATAGATTTTGTTTTAAACATTAATTGCCACCGACTTTGTTGTTGGTAGAAGAACAATAAATTGCATGTAAACATATGGAATATTAACTGAATCTAAGGAGGAAATGATAGCATAGTACAGTTAAACATACCTTGAAACTATATTCTGCATGGTTATGGAAAAAACATCAGTTTCAACAAAAGAAGAGAGGTATGAATCTAGAACAGCACAATCTAGCTCCTTTCATTTCAATTCAAATCTGATGAATGAAAATTGGCGGTAGAGTTTCTAATACTGACAAATCAGCAAGCCAGGCGGAAGTTATGAAGTAAATCATTCTCAAATCACTCTGAAGAAGGACCATGAGATCAACAAATCATTTACAAATCATCCAGAAGAAAGACTAAGTTAACAAATCATCTTCAAATCACTTTGAAGAAAAACTAAGTTCCAGAAATCATTTTCAAATCACCTTGAAGAATGGCTAAGTTCAACAAATCATGAAGAAATCACTGTAACAATTTCCTAAGTTTAACAAATCACTCAGAAATTGTCTGAAATGGGAAAGAAATCACAAACAAATCACCCTTTTAAAACAAATTGTAAGCAAATCATAGTCATCATTTTAGTAGAAAGTGATTTAAGCATGATTTGTTAGATGAATTGCTTTCAAATCACTGAAACAAATCACTTTTAAGTGATTTTAAAGCAATTTGTAGGCAATTTGATAGTGATTTGTTTCAAAAATTTTTCACTTGGGGTCATAATTTCGTGGGAAAGAACACCCCCAAAATAAACTATTCACTTTTATTTGTACAATGCTGAAAAACATACAAAATTTCTAGTTGAGCATCCAGTTTGTGAATACATATTTTTTTCAACTTTCACATCTATGCTTTTCTAATGTGTTAAACTGCTATATTATGACGAAATTCATGTATGAATCAATAATTTTTTTCCTCTCTTTACAGATATTCTTTGCTCTACAGACACCCCTACAGACAGAGATCTGACTGGTGCCAATATTAGTAACTTATCCAGATTCCCCTATGTTCTTACTTCCGTAGAAAGCATATATCTATAGTAAGTATTTAGACATCTTTTCAGGCAGATAAGATAATTATAGTTGTTTAAAATAATTAAAGAGAATAATATATAGTAAAACCCTTATCATATCTTTTATTATATACCTAATGTGTATTACTCAATTTTACTGTTGATTTTATGCAATCACGTGACGTCGTGATCTGACTTTCCGGATCACCACACTGTGGTATTCTGAATCCATATCACCACTCTCTGAAACTGATGACGTAGTACGCAGAAACATGACGTTATTTTTCTTGCGTATTAAAAAGTCCTTTGTTATTATGCTTTATTTTTATGGATAAATGTTGTATAATTGATCTCTAAAGTTTTCTTTTGTTATCTTTTGCTTGTTATGCAGTGGTATGTAATAAATTTATCATTATAACAGTACCCATACCGAAAAAAGTTATAACTAAGTTATAACTAAAGTATAACTTAGTTATACCTAGTACAAAAAAGTTATAACTAAAATGTAACTTTTTTGGACTTTGTCATTTTCATGTATAACTAAAATGTAACTTTTTGGACTTAGCCATTTTCACGTGTAACTAAAACATAACTTTTCTGGACTTTGTCATTTTCATGTATAACTAAAATGTAACTTTTTGGACTTAGCCATTTTCATGTATAACTAAAACATAACTTTTCTGGACTTTGTCATTTTCATGTATAACTAAAACATAACTTTTCTGAACTTAGCCATTTTCAAGCATTACCAGTATAAATTTACAAGTTTTGGGGGTTATTTAATGGATACTACTTGACACCGACTTTTTTTTTTCAAAAATAACATTATAACTAAGTGTTATTACAGTTAATTTGAATGAATTTTGATCATGTTCAAAATGGTTTTTTTTTTCAAACACTGCAGCAGAAAACTTTGTCAATTCCTGAACAATAATTTTGTTTACTACCAGTGATCGACTTCTCATTCATAATAAATATGCTGTCCACAGCCATGTCAAGTTCAACAGAAGGGATGTGAAATAAAATCTTGTGAATTACATCTATAAATGAGAAACTCTCTCTCTCTCTCTCTCTCTCTCTCTCTCTGTGGTGTTTGAGGGTGTGTACACAGTACATGTCATGTGTGTGTAATAAATATTATTGTCTATTTAAATTGATATTTGTCATGTAAGTTTCAACTAAAGTTGAGAATAATTAATTTCTCTCTCTCTCTTTCCCTCTCCTTCTCTCTCTCTCTCTCTCTCTCTCTCTCTCTCTTAGAAAATACGTATTTATTGAGACCCTGATGAGACATAATATTTGTCTTGTAAATTATAATAATGCACTTACATCTGAAGTTGGGAATGAATATATTTCATAATTCTGGGGAAATATAAATGTACTGCAAGAGATATAAACAGTATGAAATGTAATCTCATGAAGTCATGTGAATTTTGCACGGATTCTTCGTGTGCAAAACTGTGTAAATTTCCCTATTGTTTTCTGTGAGACAGGTGTTTGTACTAGGTGACCTTTGTGGCCAACACATCGTAAATATTTCAGCTTGGGTATTACACAATCTCTGAATGGTACAATTCTACACAGGTTGTTTGAAATCTGAAGAAAATCAGTCATAATATGGGTGGCTAAAAAGATAAACAACAGCATAGAGTATGTGCATGTTCATATGTTGAACAGATATTACGATGTTGTGAATAAAGACTGCCAGTTATATTAAGATCTAAGCAAATGACTAGTACATGTAGATTTTATTGTTTGCATAATTAAATAACCCAGTTATAATAGTTATTTTCACAAATAAACAAATATTAAATTCAAAATGGCGGCAACAAAAAATATGGCGGCCTCCGATGTCCGTTTTGTTGATACTAAGATAAATTCAAAATTTTAACACCAACTGGTATTTATATTTTTAATTTAAGTTTAAAATTACACAATTAGGTTTATTTGCATTTAAAATAAATTAATTATGAATTATTTATTTATTTTTTTCGATCACGTGACGTTTTTGAGTTCTATGATTGGTCAATAACAGAGCGCGGATTTTTCCATGGACGATTTGAATGTTTGGATGTTGAAAGTGTTGATAGAAAAAAAGGAGATAAAACCAGTTGGTAAGGCGATATTTATGCTAACATTTTATTGATTTTGGTAAAGTATACTTAGTACCTCTGGAATAACATTCCAAAAAGAAGAAATATTGGGAATGAACAAAATTCTAGGCGTGTGAATCTTAGATTTCTTGTTTGTTTTGATTGGTATGTCGAATGACAAAGACTGAAGTAAACAAATTGAAAGTATTTGAAACGCATAATATTTTTCAGCATTTAGTATATTAATCAAATATGTTGTTCTTTGTCATAACATGATCTAGCTGCAACGTTAATTAATGCAATGAAATGAGTAATTTAACATTAATTTTCTTTTTTTTTATAAAGCGGAATATTGGTACATGATGTTTCCATGAGCTGAATCTGTCCTGACCTGGAGTACATGAAATTCTTCAAAATATTACTTGTTTAAGGTAAAGTAAATTTTTTTTTCATTTCAAAATTCAATAAATCTTTCAATCTAAAACTGATTCCTGTAAGTATAGATCTTAAATTAGTCTTGTATTTTCCATGTTTTGGATGAATTAATGAATTTGAATTAATTGATATGGAAGAGTGTTTTCAATTTGATATGCAAATGAGTGCTGGAAATATACTATCTAAATATCTATAATCTAAATTTTGAACCTTTACAATTTTTTGCAGAATTGAAGAAAAGGTTAAAATTGCAAGCATATTTCAACGAAAACTTAGCCGACTACCAGTCACACTGCCCGCCAGCCAAGACGTCTGACCAGCTAAAATGAGGGACGCAGACCACCAGCCAAGTCCCTCGGCCAGCTCGGCTGACCCAGTGCGGCCTGTCAAGGGATGACCAAGTCCATCAACTAGCTCGGCTGACTACCAGTGCAGCCTGTCAAGTCCTTCAACTAACTTGGCCTATTACCAGTGCGGCCTGTCATTGAACAACCAAGTCCATCAACTAGATTGGCTTACTACCAGAGCGGCTTTTCAAGGGATGGTCAAGTCCGTCAACTAACTTAACCTACTACCAGTGCCGCATGTCAAGAGATGGCCAAGTTCGTCAACTAGCTCGGCTTACTACCAGTACGGCCTGTCAATATAGGGACGGTTAAGACCGTTGACTAACTTGGCCTTCTACCAGTACGGCTTGTCAAGGGACGGTTAAGTCCGTCAACTAACTTGACCAACTACAGATGCGACCTGTCAAGGGATGACCAAGTCCATCAACTAGCTCGGCTGACTACCAGTGCAGCCTGTCAAGTCCTTCAACTAACTTGGCCTATTACCAGTGCGGCGTATTAAAAAGTCCTGTCATTGAACAACCAAGTCCATCAACTAGATTGGCTTACTACCAGAGCGGCTTTTCAAGGGATGGTCAAGTCCGTCAACTAACTTAACCTACTACCAGTGCCGCATGTCAAGAGATGGCCAAGTTCGTCAACTAGCTCGGCTTACTACCAGTACGGCCTGTCAATATAGGGACGGTTAAGACCGTTGACTAACTTGGCCTTCTACCAGTACGGCTTGTCAAGGGACGGTTAAGTCCGTCAACTAACTTGACCAACTACAGATGCGACCTGTCAAGGGATGGCCAAGTCCGTCAACTATCTTGACCAACTACCAGTGCGGCCTGTCAAACGATGGCCAAGTCCTTCAACTAACTTGGCCTACTACCAGTGTGGCCTGTCAAACGATGGCTAAGTCTGTCAGCTAACTTGGTCTACTACCAGTGCGGCCTGTCAAACGATGGCCAAGTCCTTCAACTAACTTGGTCTACTACCAGTGCGGCCTGTCAAACAATGGCTAAGTCTGTCAGCTAACTTGGTCTACTACCAGTGCGGCCTGTCAAACGATGGCTAAGTCTGTCAGCTAACTCAGCCAACTTTCAGTGCAGCCTATCTTCAAATAATAAAGATAAACAACTGTGCACCTGCAAGGATACCTGTGCAAGGAGGGTGGTATGCAGCTAAAAACTGTAACTGAAATCACTGTTTAGAACCTTTCTTTTTTTTGAAATACAGCTAGATCAAAAATAAATAGGGTGTTAATATTTAAAAATTAGTGATGTCTGTTTATACAATTAGCAAGAGTAGAATGCAGTTTGCTAGGTAATTTTACAAAGACCCTAATTGCTATATGCTAAAAATGTATTATTTAAAACAACCAGAGAAATTTCAATCTGTTGTAGATGACATGATGAAAAATAAGGTACACTTGAATTTTGAAAACAATTGCATGTGCATTCATTTAGTTGTATTTGACAATAAACCAAGCTATCTTTATCGTGTTTGTTAGGTAAAATTGTTATCCTCATTCTAGGACCAAGATCTCTGGGAAAAGTAAGATTGCCTTTAATATGTTTTAAATAATCTTTTTTGTATAAATTTCAAAAATCTTTTTTTTTTTTTTTAATTTTAATGAGTAGCTTTTTAAAAGCTTATAACTGAGTAAATCCACAACAGGTTAACATACAGTGTATAATTTCACTGGAACTTTTACGAAAGTTTTTATTAATAGGTATAACTTTTTATAGTTATAACTTTTTGCAGTTATAACTTTTTTTAGGTATAACTTTTCTATAACTTTTTCATAACTTTCTTGGGGTATAACTTTTTTGTAACTTTTTCATAACTTTATAATAGGTATAACTTTTTTTAGTTATAAATTTTTAATGGGTATAACTTTTTTGTAACTTTTTCATAACTTTATAATAGGTATAACTTTTTTTAGTTATAACTTTTCCTGGGTATAACTTTTTCCGGGTATAACTTTTTTGTAACTTTTTCATAACTTTTTTTTTGGGTATAACTTTTTTGTAACTTTTCCACTGTTTATTTGGGTATAACTAAAGTATAACTTTGTAACTATTTTATAACTTTTTGTGTAACTTTTAATAAATATAACTTTTTGTAGTTATAACTTTTTTATAACTTTTATTTACTTGCTGTATTTATGTTGAATAAAAGGTGAAAAGTTATGCAAAAGTTATAACTTTTTTGTAACTAAGTTATAACTAAATTATACCTCACTTAAAACATGCCATTCCAAACTCCGATAACTTAGTTATAACTTTTTTGTAACTTTTTTTAGTTACAAAAGTTATAACTAAGTTATAACTTTTTTCAATGGGTAACCTGTTCGTATCACGTCGATATGACAGGCGCGGAGCATCAGATCAAACGAGACGCTTTGCGTCGAGTTTGATCTGATGATCCGCGCCTGTCAACTAACGTGACGACCCTTTGGATCAAGTTACTGTTATAATAATATATATTTATTTATCATAAGTGTATTGTAACTCAGTAGTAATGCATCTAATTCTGCACTGTGCAATATTGATGATGCTACAGTACCCCATATAGATGACCAATGCCAAAAGCCACATCACATTTAGACTGTATTTCTTTTTATGCACTTTTATTTCAGTTTCTATTAAATTCAATGTTTCTAAATCAAGGTTTCTCAATATGATGTGAATTGTTTTGCAGTCAGGACGTTCTTCAGGTGTCTGCTGGGATAGGACAGAGCGGCCATCTTGTGTGGTACTTTGTGGTGTGTCTTCTGCTACTGTGGGCTGTTATATTCATCATCCTCATTCTAGGACCAAGATCTCTGGGAAAAGTAAGATGTTCTATTCAATGCAGAATTTTATGAATCATTTTCCATATACTAGTGATATATTATATTCCTTTAAAAAGCATGACCTGATCTTTGTCATTATGTATACTTTTCTGACCCCCTTAGTAAATCTTCAAATCTGTTTGGAATCTGCTTGGAGAGTGACAAAAGTATAAATGATTATAGCTATATATGATGCTTGACTTACCCTCATCCTTTTTCTGTTTTATACAAAACTGTAGACTGTTACAATATTTTTTATTTACAGGCTGTGTACATAACGTATGGACTAGCACAAGTGTTAGCAGTGTCACTGATGGTCCACCTCTGTACAGAAGAAGGCGCTCTCCGGGGGATCAAGGGATTCCTGAACATGAAGTGGGACGTTCTAGGTAATCTGGAGGTTAGCTCACTTTCTGTTACGCTAGGCTGAATTACATAAGGATTCTAAGTATAACTACCCTCTTTTTCGAGATTTTGATAATGGTCAGGCATATTATATTCAAGATGACATTGTCTGATTTAGAGTTGATTGATCTTCAGTATCTCAAACACAGATGATCTTCATGCAGTAACTCAAACAGATATCTAAAATACCAAGGATATTTTAAAGTGATCTCGAGTTTACATCTAAAACACATTTTTCGTGTACTTTAACCTCAGTATCTCAGATCCATGGATATCTCAGTTTGCCTCATTAACTCTGAGATAATGAAGTCTGACTTTTACACTCATAATACAATCAAACTCGGCAACTTGCAAATAGTTTGCTTAATCTTGGTTATCAAGTCAGAAATCTTTTAAGAAGCTCATAGCAGATTTTTCATTTCTGAATAAAGATATACAAAATTTTACCTACAGTCAAATCTTGTTATCTCAAACTCAGTGGGACTGAGGAAAACTTTGAGATATCCGATGATTCGATATATCAAGGATAAAATACTTTAGGAATAAGGGGTTGGGACTTTTAAATTACTTTGACATATCCATGGTATTTAGAATATCAGTGTTAAAGATGATACAGAAGTTCAACTGTAGTTGTAAGGAAGCAAAGTTCTAGGTTCAATTAACTACCTTACAAATGATGAACAATTAAAGGAGGTTGTAAGGAAAAAACACCTCTTCAACAGTGTATACAGATTGTAAAGAATTAGATCATTTGCTGCTGTATAGAAAACAGCTAGTGTATAGATACTGATAAGAAGACACCACCCTTTTGCTATGAATCTGAAAACATTTCACCCACAAGCACCTCCAGGCTCAAAATGATGATAACAATATATAGTAATCTTTTACATTGAATTTCTTTTGATGCTTGTTTGCATCTACATGTAGTTGAAAATTGTATTTACTTTAATTTTGTGTTATGAATTTTGGATATTTAAACAACTGAAGATTTTCAATCATTTTGTGAGGTATAAATATGTTGTTATATGTTTTCAATCATTTGTCCCTTTTGTCAGGCCTGGGTTGCTGCTGGGATATTGATGTTTAGCTCCCTTGGCTTGGGTACAGGTACCTTAACTTCTCTGGCTGGCTACACCCATTTCCATAGTCACTGCTTCAGGTTTGTTGAAAGCAGTATGCTTAATATCTATTAAACAAAATAATGTGAATGTTCCAAGCTTCTGTTTTAGTGTAAAGGGGGGAGAAGATTAAATGAAATCAAACTTCTGTATTAGTGTAAAAAGGGTAAAGATTAAATCTTTGAATAGCTCTTCTTGCATATTCTGATTATTTTCACCCTCAAAATAAATGTAGGATTTCATTACTTCACAATCACATTGGTACAGACAACATTATGTAAGCCAGGTGCAGAGTATATAATTATGTTTTAAGGAAATAACAGCTAGTATTTCAGTGCAGTCTTCAAACTCTGTAAAGAATTATAACCTGAATACAGATCAAAGCTCTGACAACAGTTAAAGTTTTCAAAGATGATGTCATAAGATTTTATCAGCAGTTCAATGACGATCAAGCTCTGTCTTTTATTGTAGAAACTGCCTGCTGGTCATCACGGCTCACCTGGCTGGTATGCTGGTCAGTGGCTTCACCATCTTCGCTGCTCTCGGAATCAATGGCCAAGAAGATGACAACTCGATAATTAGTCATAATATGACAGGTTTATACTTTCTTATGAATTTTGTAATACAAATCTTAAAAAAAAAAAAGAGGAAATAAAAGTATCGTGCTTGCTTTTGTAACCTCCACCGGTCTGTGCATGGATGGGTTTTATTGCAGCAGGAAAAAATTTCCCAGCAAGAAACATCAGTACATCAGTGCACATTAGTAACTCAAATCTCATTTTGCAATTAACTTAGGTACATTTGAGGACTGGATGCTGTCTTAAACTTGATCAGCCTGATACCTTAAACTCTCAGATATCTCGATACTGTGAAATCACTTATTTTCAAGGGGACAGGGTGGTTGATTTTAATTGTTTTCATTGTTGAAGAGACCCATGAAATCAAAACCCCCGGAAAATGTGAACCTGCACACTGCAGTAAATTATTTCTGCTTTAACCAAGAAATCAAATCCTGTCAAATGATTAATTTTTTCTTACATCATGGAAATTTGGTTAATAAAAATAATTCATTCTACTTTGGTTTTTCTGCAGTCCTGCCATATGTGAGTTGAGATTTGAAATTATTTGAATTTTTCATTATAAGAAAATTCTGTCATTGCAGCAATTGACCTTGTGTTCACACTGATGACCTCTGTCATAGCCAGAACTAACAATGCCCATGTATGGAAGGCAATCTTTTTCCTGACCCTGATTCTAATGGGCATTGGTACCCAGTGTGCGTACATACAGAACATTGTGTCGGCACTCCTTCACTTCCTGCCAGATAGGTGGCGCTTCAGATGGAAATTCAAATGCCCAGTGCTGGCGGCAGTCTGCTTTGTTGCCATGGTACTAGGACTTCTGCTGACTTCACAAGTAAGTTTTTGTAAAATATAATTTTCTTAAATGTAGAGCTGTCAGAGTGATAAATTGACAAAATAGTCGCAAAAGACCCAGTTGAATTGGAATGGAATTAAGTTAACATTGTATTTAACAAGAATTTGAAATATACAACATCTGGATTAGACAAGTTTTTCTGCATGATGTTTGTTGAAATTCAAATACATCTATTGATTTTATTAAATTGTTGCATTTCTTGTTGCGGCATTGAGAGTTATCACCCTTTCCATATCTTTTTTTTTCTTCCATATATCAAAATGTTTTGATTTTAATCTTTAATGATGCACATGAAGATCATAAAAATACTTTGTAATGTAAGGTAGTTGTGTACCTTTGTAGGGAGGTTTGTACGTGTTCTACTTCTCCCATCACTATGTATGTAAACTGTCCCTGTACCTGATCGCATTCTGTGAGTGTGTCTCCCTGTCCTGGGTGTACGGGGCCCAGAGACTCTGGAATAATGTGTCAGACATGACGGGAACCACGGACAGTCCCTGGTGGAAACTGACCTGGAAGTTCCTCACACCTGTCGTCGTGTTTGTAAGTTTCTTTATGTTGTTCATTTTCAATTGTTTTAATTGATTAGCAGGGGTAAGTCACTTTTAAAGATAGTTTTCTTCAAGAAGTTAAGTTTGGATTATCTGTCTTGAAAACATTAATTAAATTAAAAAAAAAAAAAACTAATGAACTGGCTTTGTATACTTGAGCAAATTTTTATTCAGTTATAATGAAAGTAATTTTCCAGGTCCCAAGAATTCCACTTAAACCACTCACAAGTTATACTGCATAGACTGTGTTAATATTTTACAGAGTTTGGTTATTATGACAGTGCTCTATGTTAAGCCTACAGTATGTTCCTACTTTACAGGGTTTGATCGTTGTGACCCTCATTTATTATGAGCCTACAGTATGTTCCAAATTTACAGGGTTTGATCATTGTGACCCTCATCTATGACGAACCTCTGTACTACAGTACTTACCAGTTTCCTGACTCCTCCCACACCATTGGACTGATGCTTACCCTTCTGCCCGCCGTACCTGTACCTGTATTTATTGTCTGGTGTGTGTGGAAAAATGAGGGCAGTCTCAAACATGTAAGACATCTATATTATTTAGTCAAATTCAGCAATATTTAGTCTAATATATACTGTATACAGTGTTATTTTCGCCCTTTTTAACTTGTGAACAATTTTGTCCCATTTTGAATTGCCCAGTCAAAGTTTTTTTAAGAAATTATGAGATGTAATTTGAATTCGTCCCGTTTTAAATTCGCCCAATCAAAGAGAGGACGAAAGGGACGAAAATAAAACGGGGGCAAAATTTTCCCTGTATACAGTATTTTAAGGTTATCGTGTATGAGAAATGAAATTAAAAAAACAGCTACATATTTTTACATCCAGACTAAATCTTTATTCTGTTTGAGTTTTTGCACCAATAGATAATTACTCTTTCCGTTAGGAAATGACCTATTGATTTTTGAGGTTAGAGTGTTAAAGGTCAAGGTCATCAAATCAAATGTGATCAAACTGGTCAAGATGGTATGAACCAGTACAGTTAATTTGTTTTTGGATAATTTCTTTTAGTCCAACAAACTTTTAACTTCCTTTCAAACTTTAGCATACCTTTCTATGTTTTAAAGAAGAAATCTATTGATTTTTGAAGTAAAAATGTCTATTGATTTTGAGGTTAAAAAGTTTAGGTTAGAAAAATTTTCATCTTCCATTAATGAAATAATTTTTAAATGATAACATAAGTTGTATTTAAGCTCTTGCAGTGAAGTCATAATTAACTTTTAGAGGAAGAACCCAGTCCATTTGTAGGCACCAGGGTCAAGAGAACTTATTCAATGATAATGATATATGAAATAGCCACCAAATTTGCTACAATACCATCTGTAACTAAAACATGACCCCTATTGATTTTTCAGATGGAAGGGGTAAACGTCAGGACCAGAAACATTTATTGTCACAAATTATGTTCAGCTAATATCATAGATAATCTTCTTTCTTTAGGTTGGATAAATAAATTCCACAAATTATTGAGTTTCTGAATTTAAACTAAAAAAAATCAGTGAAAATTAAGATATTACCCACAAGGTGAAATATGTGATGAAAAACTATTGAAAAATGGGAAGAGAAAAAAATAAACAGCATGCTTAGACTAAAATCCTTTAACAGTTGATGTTCATTGCAAACTCACATGTGTCAATTTACAAGTACTTTAAAGTATTTAAAGTAGACATATATGTTCTTAAATAAATGTTAGTTATAAATTCAACTTGCCACTGGATAAGTGTTGTAAAATGTCTGCATGTTTCTAATTATAGATGTTGGCACCATATCAGAATTTAGTGACAGAAATTTCAAAGTCAACATTGTTTTTTTTTAAACTTTATCAACTTATAGAACACAGCCAAAAAAATTATCTAACTTGTACTATGTAACAATATAAATTAACCCAAAGTTTGTTTATCTTTAAAATAAATCTTTTTATGGTCATGTATACATGTACGGGAAAAAAAGCTATGGCATAAATGGTTAAGATTCTGACACCTGTAAAATGATTATTCCCTGTTCACTATCCCCTTTATAAGTTCAATACTACTTTAACAAACATTATAATTACTGACCCTGTTCTTATACTTTCTCATCTTGAATGCAGTTTGCTTCAGAAGTCAACGTATCTGTAACTTCAGAGGGAGACATAGAAAGAAAATAAAATTCATTATTGGATGCAAATTGATAAATGGAAATGAATTAAAAATCTGAATGACATTCTAAAGGAGTTGATCAATATGCTTTCTAGTAGAGAAGCAATCAGTGTACTTTATATAATCATTTCTCACATAAATATTCCCAGTAAGCGTTTATAATTAGTTGTATTTTTACATTTTAATGATTGGGCGAAAATGGTTAAACCATTATCATTGATGAAAGATTAAATCCATATTTGAACTTCATAAATCAACGTCTGTCTTCCAATCAAACTTGAATAAAACTGAGGAATGTTTTTGAAGCTAGAGAACATAATACTGATGGATTAACACTGATTCTGTATTTTTCAGAGAATTCAAGCCTCGGTTGTTACATCCTCAAGCTGGGGGCCAGGTCAATTAGCCAATCAGGAACCAGGGATTGAACTGCCTGACTACGTAATATGTACACCGGACAATCACAAACCGGAAAATGCCCTGGCTATTTTGACAGCTAACCTGTATATCCCGAATCTGACCAATCTCATATCAGCACAGGTAAGGGGCTCAAATCTGACCAATTAAATACCAACACAGATAAGGAATTCCAATCTGATCAATCACATGAGCACAGGTAAGGGACTAAATCTGACCAATCAAATATCAGCCTAGGTAAAGGGCTAAAACTGGCCAATCAATTATAAGTCCAGGTAAGGGGCTCAAATCTGACCAATCAAATGTCAGCACAAGTAAGGGACTCAAATCTGACCAATCAATACAGCATGGGTAAGAGGCTCAGCAAAAGTAAGGGACTAAGACTGAGTAATCAATTATCAGTGCAGGCAAGGGACCCAAATCTAACCAATCAAATATCAGCACAAAGAAGGGGTTCAAATCTGACCAATCAAATATCATCATAAGTAAGAGATTAAAATCTGACCAATCAAATAGCAGCACTAGTAAGGGGCTTAATCTGACCAATCAAAATAAAGCAGCACAGTAAGGGACTCAAATCTGACCCATCTCATTTCAGCATAGGTAAGGGGCTAAATTTGACCAATCAAGTAGCTCAAGTAAGGGCTAAATCTGACAAATCAAATATCAGCTCAGGTAAGAGGCTTAAATCTAACCAGTCTTATAGCAGTACAGGTAAAGGGTTCAGATCTGAATTTAAAAGAATGTGTAGTTTTATAAATAAATTTCACCCCAGCAAAAATTGATTTGAATATTGTCTTGTAAATGTCAGTATTCTTCTGTGTATGCTCATTTTGACAAAGCAGTTATTAACATGCATCTCTGTGAATTTTTTTTACATAGAGGGACCCTATTCTTTTAAGGGGAAATAATAATTAGGCAGGGTTAATTGAATCTTAGGACAATTCTTTTGCCAACGATGAAGTAATATAAGAGAAGAATATTAGTGATAAGGAGTTATATATGTAGTGCAATCCAAAATATTGTGGTGTTTCTCAATAAAATCTTAATTGAAATTGTATTATGCATAATTGTTCAAAATCTTTTTATACCCCACACAACTAGTTGCGGGAGGTATAATGTTTTTGAGTGGTCCGTCAGTCAGTCAGTCAGTCAGTCAGTCCGTCAGTCAGTCCTCTTTTTTTGTCAGCGCAACTCCTCATAAACCGCTGCACAGAATGTCGTCAAACTTTGCAGGTATTTAGGACACAATGTGTAGATGTGCATATTACCAGGAAATTCCGATTCCTTTATTTTTTCCGGGAATAATTTTTAACTTAGGCATTTGGCCATACCTTGAATATAGAGATGAACAGTTTGTCATACTCCTCATAAACCGCTGCACAGAATTTCTCAAACTTTGCAGGTATTTAGAACACAATGTGTAGATATGCATATTACCAGGAAATTCCGATTCCATTATTTTTTCCGGGAATTTCCGCACTTTTAACTTAGGCATTTGGCCATACCTTGAATATTGAGATGAACAGTTTGTCAGTGCAACTCCTCATAAACCGCTGCGCAGAATTTCGTCAAACCTTGCAGATATTTAGGACACAATGTGTAGATGTGCATATTACCAGGAAATTCCGATTCCGTTATTTTTTCCGGGAATTTCCGCACTTTTAACTTAGGCATTTGGCCATACCTTGAATATAGAGATGAACAGTTTGTCAGCGCAACTCCTCATAAACCGCTGTGCAGAATTTCGTCAAACTTTGCAGATATTTAGGACACAATGTGTAGATGTGCATATTACCAGGAAATTCCGATTCCATTATTTTTTCCGGGAATTTCCGCACTTTTAACTTAGGCATTTGGCCATACCTTGAATATAGAGATGAACAGTTTGTCAGCGCAACTCCTCATAAACTGCTGCACAGAATTTCGTTAAACTTTGCAGATATTTAGGACACAATGTGTAGATGTGCATATTACCAGGAAATTCTGATTCCTTTATTTTTCCGGGAATTTCCACACTTTTCAACTTAGACTTTTTTGCCATATTTTGAATATAGAGATGAACAGTTTGTTAGCACCACTCCTCTTAAACTGTTGTACATAGTTTCGTCAACCTATGCTGAGATTTAGGAGATATTCCATTATTTTATCCCAAAGAGTTTTGCCTATTATTCAAGAAAATTTCTAACCCCCCCCCCCCCCCCCACTTCAAATTAATGTGTGGATTTGTATATTGTCAAGAAATTTTGATTCCATAATTTATCTAGAAACTTCATTCCACATTTAAATGTCCTCATATGCAAGACATTTTGATGTAAAGATTTTTTGCAATTATTGTCCTTTTTTATCTATACTATGTATTTAAAGTGCACTGTGCCTTTCATTAAATGTGTTTCACCGTCAAGTTATGGGGGAGCGTGGGGTATGTGAGCTAGCTCACTTTTTCTTTCATTTTAAAATGAGATAATAAGCAAGCAATGGAAGCAAGAAAATTTGAAAATGAAGAAATGATAATTTGGCAATTATAATATGTCAACTTAAAGATCTATATTTACACATCTTTCATTTTCAAGAGGCTGTTATTTGCATGGTTTAAGACCTCTTGAAAAAATATTTATTTGTAACTGTTTAGATGCTTATGTGCTCCATGTTTGAATAAGTGAATGTGCCCCAATGACTTTCGTTTCATAGATCAACACTAGGGGGACTATAGAATAAAACTTTCTACCTGCTAAAGGATTTGTTCCCGTGTATTGATTTAAATTTCCACAATTCAGTGTTAAAAGTACCCACTGCGTTTCACATTAATCAGTATAGAATTAAATCTCAGGTGGATGGCAGGTATTCAAATGAGGAAGATCAGCCAGGAAATTTTTTTTAAAAACTGTGAGAATAAAAGATGTTGTTTTGTTAATTTGTTCGAGGTCGGAAAAAAGATTACCCTAGGTCCTGAGAGATCTTTAACTTGTGATCAATGTGATTTCTTAATTCAGATTCTGCTAGGTAAGATTTTTTTTAATTTTCAAAAAAAGCATCTAGTCAGTAGGTATAAATAAAGTTTCACCTTCATTTGGAAGAGAAGAGAAGGGGGTACAATGAATAATGATATAAGTATGTCAATTATAATTTTATATCTTTGTTCAAAGAAATTAGTTTTCAAAAAAAATATTTTTTAGAGAAAAAAATGAAGTAATAAATATTTTCAATTTTATTTAAATTTGCATGAAAAAATTTGTAAATGACTCAAAGTACAAGAAGTAATATATGTTGTGCATTTAGACTAAAATGAATTTATGATCATTATATAAATGATTTTTTTTTCAAATTTTACTAACTGGGTTTTTTGCACCACTGATAGTAAAATAATCAGCCATTTTCAAATAATGTTCGAGTTTATAAATAAAGCCTAAACATAGCAGACTCTGCTCTAAATCTTTAATTCCATGGGGAGTCAGTCCAATGATTTTAATGTGGTTGAAAAGGTCAATCAGCACTTGCTTCAGAAGATGCCATGGGTATTGAGTAAACTTGAATATAAAGATAAATTACCTCAGCAACATTAAATTTTATAATTTTTTAGCCATTATATTTTGAGCACACAATGAATTCATTCAGTCTGAATAGAATATTCAATATTTAATTACCTAATATTATGACAAAACTCAAGTTGAATGACACCATAAATATCTGACAAGTTTACCTCCACCAATTAAAAAAAAGGGACAAATTAAACCTACTTGTGTTTCTTTTAAAAGCATTAGCTCAGAGTGGATTAACTCAGGTTCATCAATAATATAGGAATGTGTAATATCGATGATTATCACTGAAATATCTAATCCCTCAAAGGTAATTATACTAAATTGTTATGCTTTTCCCATTTTTGCTATTTCATTAAGTTGATTATATCATAGGGAGATAATTCTTTTTCTTTTTGAGGTTGGTTGTGAAGTGAAAGAGTGGAAGGGGTGTGTTTGGGGAGGGGGGGTATGAGCTATTTTATTTTGCAGAAAGTTACACAATTTTAAAAACAGTTTATTAGGATTCAGAAACATACCCTGGGTCAGTGATTGAGACCTTATTCATTCAGTTAAATGACTGCTTTTCACATTTAAATTATTTTCTTTTGGAATTGTGAGGATTGTATTGACACAAAACATGTTTAATTCTGTTCAAATATGGTTGTTAATATTTACATAAATTATAGAAATGGTTTGTCAAAAGGAACTCAATCAAAACACTTTGTAAATCAGAATAATAAACAAGTCCATTTAAGATCTCAGTTTTTGATAAACTTCATTTAAAAATGGCAATGGCCTGTAAAGCATGTTTTCAGTTATTCCAAGGAAATGAATAATTAAAAGAAAGATGAAAAGCTATTTTAGAGATCTATTTTAATTTGAATTTTATCATTTTTTCTTCAGCTGCAAAAGAAGATCATTTGTTTGGCAAGAAGTATCCCCCCTTGTTAAGTAGTTAGTTGTTCCTTTGTTTTGTCTGTGACGAAATTATGAGGGCCCTGCTCTGAAGATTCCTTATATTGATCAGTCTGCTGGTTCATTGACTGTTCCTCCCATTTCATTTTTGTTCAGAGCATATTTTCTCCCTTTGGTCTGTTTAGACCAAACTAGCCATCATGGTATGCATAAACATTTATCCAATTTTTCTAGAAGAAGGATCAATTTTAAAAAAATGTCTCAAAGATTTGTTCTCTGTCCTTGGTCCAGTTGGGCTTATACTTTACCCATAGTGTAGTCCATAGCTACTTGTTAAGGGTGTACACTATACAATGATCTTAAACCAATTAAAAAAAAAATTAGATGAAAGGTCAAAAAATTCTGTGCATTTTAAATTAATAGGTAAAACTTGCATGATAATGAAATTGAAATTCATCAACCATTCTTTTATTATAACATGCTCATTCACTTGAACTGAATATAAGATAGTTATTATTACACATCATAGGAACTTGCAGTATTCACAATCTCCCAGATTATAAAATTATTCAATAAAACTGTGTGGTATATGTGTTTTTTTTATTTTTTTGTGCAGTAGTGATAAACTGTTGTGTAATACTACTGTAATCCATATAAGTGAAATGAACTTAAAGTAACTCACCTGCAATATGATGCTTTGTTTGTACATGAGACTGTTTATGATCGCCAATTTCGATGATTTTGTGATTACTTCCGTGTTGCAGCAGCTGATGATAAGTTGAATTGTGTATAATTGTATGGTACATGTACTTAGTATGATCCAGTATTTTATGTTTGGAATATATATATTAAACCGAGATAGAGTAAGTTGTTTTTAGTTTATGATGAGAAATCTGGTTTGGTCAGCAGTCACTCGAGAACTTGGCCATTGCTACCTGTAACTGCATGATTTGTCCTTCTAGATCATAAAACTTTAAGATATTCTTTGTATTAAAAATACTGTGTCAGTTTAACAAAATCATGCTGCCACAAATCATCATTAGGTGATGGGAATTGGGATTTTATTTTAAAATAAAGAATATACTACTCTTTTCTAAGGAAGATAGTTTTTAAAAAGAGGTATAATTTAAAAGAAATAGAATGGGAAAGTTTAAATTTGAGTGGGTTTGAGCCAGAAATGACAAATTTAGGTTGTAAGGAAGAAAAACTTTTTATAATGTTGATTTGAAATATAACACCTGTTTGCATATCAATTATAAAAATTAATATTTTAAAAAAAATTACATAGAAATATGTAGGTAGAAAAATTTCATTTATTATTTTTTTAAAAAGAGAAAGGAGGGTATGGGTATAGAGAGGGTGGATATACTTTGAAGCATGTGGTAATGTGGATCTGATAGTTACTTAAAGGGATCTGTGAATAAAATGTTCCATCTTCCTTATAGGAAAATGGACTGCAAGCTATTTAAAAAAATGTCCTCATCACGAAAAGTTGATAAAAATGCAAGTACTTTGTGCAGAACATGGGCCTTTTACCAATGATTGAAACATGTTGAAGAGACACATGAAAGAATCCTGTTACTTCCTTCTCATTTTAATTAGGGACAATACACTTAATCTCATTAGATAAGAACTTTATAAAGACAAGTACATGTACTCTATAGGGTGGCTTTTTTATGTGCTTGAACATGCAGATGTAATTTAAGGCTCTAAGGCTAAATAGCTAGGATATTTCTCACTTATATCTGTGAAATTGATTATTTTCTAGAGTTCCAACTGTCAACTAAATAATTAATAAAAGCTAGGGTTTAAGTCTGTTCACTTGATGCAAGGATCTTTGTTGACTAGAGCTTAAATGAAACTGATACAGAGTACACTGTTATGAAATGATAATTATGTTTCTCCCTTTAGGGGTTTTAATATTTTAATCAGTGCAAAGTAAATGTTTACTTTGTTTTCCATGAAAAGACTAGCTGCAGTTTTATTATTTGTCAAGTGGGATGTGTAGAGCAAACAAAAACATTTTTTTTAATTGCATGTAAGTACATTAAAACTGACAATAGGTTAAACGAACTCATTTTTACTTTGCTTTTTAATGGATAACAAGAATTGATTGAACAGAAATTAATTTTGAACCAAATTTAAAATGATTTTTTCATTCTTTCTTTTCTTTGTTAGATAACTTCAGTCTTTGAAACACAGTCATAAAATGTTTATATGTAAGACTCCAAAGTCCGATGGTGACTTTCTAACGCCAATGTCCGATGGTCATGCCAAAGTCATGGCTCGTTTCCTATGAATAAAGTGCGATGGTGAACGCCAAAGTCCAATGGTGTGGATTAACATTTATAACGTCAAATTTAAATTGATTTTTTTACGGATATTGCTTTTTGTTTTCTATTTCTAATCCTTGTACACCAATGGAGTGATAAGGGTTAGTCCTTAAACAGTCTTTTTAAGGGTTAGTCCTCTTAACTACATTTAGTCATAAAATTAGTTTGATACATTGTTCGACTGTATATATATATTTTGTATTTAAAAGAAACTTTCATAGACGTTAATTGTTTTTTGTGCCATAAAACTATATTTTGGCGTGACCATCGGACTTTGGAGTCCCATCGCACTTTGGAGTCCTACATATATATTTAAAAAGAGGCTTTTGAGAATATAAAACTATATTATGTAGAGTCCAAGGAATGCATGTGTGCATTGATTTATAGCCTTAATAAAGATGAAAGTAAATGTAAGGGTATTGGCTTCTAGCATTAGAGTTATGGCATTTGCCTGCAATGTAAATTTTTAAGAAATCCACTGATCATAAGACTGAATGGAACATGAAGAATGACATATACTTAATAAATTCCTTATCTCCCTGTCGAGAGTTGGGCCTTTGATAAGCTTAGAATCATTGAACCCTGTTATTTGATATATCCTATTTGGGTTGTGATATGTTAACCAAAATGTAGGTCATTTTGACCTCTTTTACGGTGTTTTTTAATATCAACATTTAAAAATATCAATAGTGTTTACATTAAAGGCTTTTTTTTATTTAAAAACATGTGTCAATACTAAGAGGCTTATAGAATTATAAAAGTGATAGGGCAGTGCAATTTATAAGAATAGCAGTTCTAGACCTGTAGGCTTCTTGCTTCAATCCACATTGATGCAGACTAAAAAAAATACATTTAAATCCAGGTAAATCCAGATGATGATCCGGAGATGAGTGGTGGTTACCTGACTGATCTGATGGCCGTGGACAATGGGGAGAGTGATGATGAAGACGACACTAATCACCGCGGTAACTGGAGCAGTCGTATGGACTTTGTTCTCTCCTGTCTGGGTTATGTGGTGGGTCTAGGAAACGTCTGGAGGTTTCCCTATCTTGTATTCAGAAATGGTGGAGGTAGGTTTGAAGGGCACAAGTAGACAACACTAAGATACATAATTTAATGCATCAGATTTCGATTTTTGGTGAATGGTGTTGCCTTGGTTACTAAAAATAGAAATTTCTGTGAAATTCCTTTAAAAGGCTACTCCTCCTACAGATTTCAAAAGAACTTGGCACACAAGTAGGCTACATTTAAATACATAATTTAAGGCATCAGATTTTAATGAACGACATTGCCATGGTTATTAAAAAGGAATTTTTTTTGTTAAATTCTATCAAAAGATTACTCCTCTAACAGTTTAAATCTGATAACAATAAATCTTGCGACAAAGCAACTAAATGGAGGACTATTATTTTATTTATTGCTGTTGCGTGATCTTAGTGTTAACTCTACTTAACTCTTCCTCTCTTAAAAATACAAAGCAGTAAAGCTTAATCTTGTCTGGTTTACATCATGATGTCAGACATGATATCATAATTGCTGAACTTTTATTGTCTATCTTACTAATAAAACAACATTTTGAAGACTTAAAGCAGTATTTTGAATCAAGTTCATCAAAAACTGTCATTAGGTGATTCGAGGAAAGTATCCAAATAAAAAAATGAATCAAAATTGGATTTAGCACCATTTTGAAAAAAAACACACCACAAAGTGAAAGGATTTTTGCTGCTTGTATCAGATTTCAGACCGAGATATTGCATAAAACCTTTTAATCAAAAGAAGGAAATAATCTGTAACACAGAATATTTTTGAAGACCCATTTAAAGGATTATGAAGAAAACAGCGGAGAGCCCAGATTTCCTTAATTTAATTCTGAATGAGAAAGGTTGCCCTTTAGTTCAGGGGTTACAATTCAACAGTCACAGAAAACTTGGTAATTACATGTAACAATGCTTGCTACTGTCTTATACTAGAAGTAAGTCGTACAACTCTGAGCAGTTTCTGAGCCCTATATTTCTCTTTCAGGTGCCTTCTTTATTCCCTATACTATAATGTTGATTTTCTGTGGTATCCCCCTGGTGTACATGGAGCTGGCCTTTGGACAGTACGCCAGTCTGGGACCAGTCACTGTGTGGAGGGCTGTACCCATCTTCAAAGGTTTGTGGAAGAGGCGTATAGTGGAAAAAAGGATGCAATTTTCATGTGCAAAGTTTAGTTATAGTCAAAGTACATGTAGATGAAGCACAAGTTCTATTCAAAATAATATGTTAATTCAGGTTATAATTTTACATGCTTAGATATACAAAGAGAACTTGTAGGTTATACTTGAGAAAAGTTGCTGTGACCAGAAAGTATCCATTTACCTTGTTATATTACAATGAGTCAGTGTCACTGGTTATAAGATCAGCTAAAATCTTGTCCTAATACCATATAACTTGTGTAAAAGAATAACATAAGAAGATCATTGAATTTCATTTTTCAAAGAGAAGATAATATTAGATCTCATCTGAGGTCACAGCTAGAGTATGTCATTCGGACAAGCCATGCAAGGTCGGATGGGGGTTAAATTAGTGTAGAATTCTAAAAAGTTCTGAAATTCTTTTATTATCAAGGATTATGAGAGACATAACTCTCTAACATCAGGAGGTAGGTACTTATCACAAAGACAAATTGTGCTCATTGAGATTCCTGTCAAAGATCTTAATCAGGATTGTTTTTATATCAGGTTAATCTTACACAGCTCAACAGTTGAAATCTTGTAAGAGACGTAACTTTTTGATGCTGAGATTATATATATGGAGGTTAAATAGTACTTTCATGCTTGAAACAATTTGATTGTTGTTCATAGTAAGAAGAATGTTACATTCTTTATAACCAATTGCATTTCATAAGGTTAAAAGCACGGGAATCTTAAGCTATAGGTGTCAAAGTATGCCTTTTATTTGAGTGTCCCACATGTCATTTTACGTACTAAGTTAAAAGAATTTAACAGTTCTACTTGAATATATTCACTGATCTTTGCATTTATTACTTTGGAATGCAGGTTCTTTTTAAAATAGTTCTAATATATATGACACAAATTTTAAAAAAACCTCTGTACCAATGAAATGTTTCAGGGGGAAATTATGCCTCACATATAGACATACATAAAAAAAAACTCATGTTCAAAATATATGTTGTTGATATCCAAAATCTTGACATAGAACAATTTGAAAGATTTTCAGATATACTGACAGACAGATTTACAGCTAGTTAAGATGGTATGTAGGCCAATAACCTTTAAAGGTAATTTAATCAAGCAAAAAGCAATCTGGCCATAAAACATCAATGACACGTATTACAGTTAATTCTCGATAAACCGCCACCTTTTGTAATTTAGAAATCATTGCGGTATAACGAATTTGGCGATGAATTGAATTTCCCATCTTTTATAGGAAATAGGAAGTAAACAGAAATACCATTTACATGTAGCATTTCTATTCTTATTATCACATGTATATGTATATAAAAACATATTTCTAAATTTGAAAATACTTCAAGTAATTTTTATATGTACAATTTCGCTAAAACAAAATGTGCAGTTATAAAATAATGACGATTACATGTGTATGCATGTAAATCTGCACATCTGATATTAATAAAAAACATGTTTAACTTATATATAGCCGATAGTACATAAAATGAATTCTTGAATAAATTAATTCTTTATGGCATCATTGTTAATGAAAAATTCACAATTTTTACCGTATAGGCCATAATAAATAAATAGCTTTATATTTTTTTCAAAATCGAGGCGGGCGGGCGGCTTTTATTTATATTTTTTATTTTTTCAATTTTGCAGATTTTTTAAAAGGATGTAATTTTATAAATATATAGTAAAGGTTCAATTATCTCATACTTCACATCATCACCGATCTTTTTCAACCATTTTAAAATATATACGCATGTATAACAGCAATTAGTCAATTACCATCTTTTCAGCTGTCAAATTCATGTCGACTTTTATAAAACGAAAGTAGAATTAAAATGGCACACACAGAAAAACAGAAATAAAAAAAAAAAAAAAAACGAGGCGGGGGTATAAAATCGGGGCGGGCGGGGATGAGAATCTAGGAATATTTTTATTATGGCCATAATTATTTTTAAGCAAACTTTGCATTGTTTAAATCCGAGATCATCAGAATAATATCGTTATTGGTGTTCTTTAACAACGGCCACTTTCCTGGCGAAGCAGTATATATTTTTATTAAACAGAAAACAAAATTATTATAACACTTTACGTTAAATTAATTCTTATTTAATTATTTAATTGCATATACCTCGAATGCTTTAATTAGTGTCAACCAATTAGCCGCGCTTCACTGACCACATCCACCTGTGGCGGTATTATCGAGATAATTGACACTCATAAATGGACGTTTGTTTTGAAAACAGGGTGGCGGATTTCTTTGGCGTTATAAAGAGAATTTTATATAGCAGAAAAACGTTCTTGGGAAATCATGGCGGTATTGCGAAAATGGCGATGAATCGAATGGCGATAATTCGAGAATTGACTGTACTTTTCTCCAGAGAGTCTTAGAGAAATTCAGGTCACAAACAGACATAGTTGGCTTACTTCTTTTTTCAATCTCCATCTTTGATATTGCCATATTCTCATATTGCAATTGATAGTTGAGATCTCCCTTAATAATTTTTAAATTAAAAAAGAAAATATTTCTAAGAACTCTCCGGAAATTGATTTATTAATTTCTTTATATTTCTAGCCCCTCCCCTTTTTTTCCAGAAAAAAGCTTAGTATAGACATTTAGACATCGAACATTGCTTCGTACGTCTAGCCCTGGAATTTCCTTTTTTTTTTTTTTTTGCTTGTCAAAGAATTTCAAATTTCACACATTTATTTATACTACGCCTCTGTTGCAGCTCATTTTCATTGCGTTAATAGCTTGAAACATTGATGAAGCAATTTGAAGAGCAATTCATTAAAGGAAATATTCAAAGTGGCTTGTTCCAAGGCTTTTCTTTTCATCAAGGTGAAAAAAAGATTGAAAAGATGATATTAAGGAGATTAGAAAGAAGTAGTAATTTAGTAAATTGTTCTACATTTCCCAGGAGTTATCTACTAAAATATTAATTTTGGAATAAATATCTTTAGATATTGAGAATTATCCTTTAAGAGATATATCTTAACTTTGCTACACATTTTTTCCATTTCATGATTCTTACCCTTGTGTTACAAACTTTTATTGTGGTTTTATTTGTTTACTCAACCTTTCTGCACTACAGTAGTATCGTAATATTTCAAATTTTACACATTCAATCATATATGCATCTTGAATTTTGGACTGATTTTGGTGAAAAGGAAATAGATTTGACTTAATATACTAAAACTCAGTACTACTTGTAGAAGGTTTTCTTTTGGTCACATATGCTGTAGAGGCTCACTAGTTGACAGTGTGTGGTCTATCAAACATATAACAGACTTCACTTGTTAATGCAGAAAGATTTAGGAAAAGAGAGCCTGAAAGCAGTTTGAAACATCCTTTATTGTATCATTATCTTCTTAAGTGATCTTGTCTACAGTAAAAATCTTAAAATCAGTTTTAAATGTTTTCTAATCCAGAGTGTTGCCTTATCTGGCCAATTTCTTTGGAATCACTGGTGTTAGATAATTTTCTGTATCAATATGATTAAAATCAGATCCTTTGATCCGCTCACATAGATTACTACACAAGGATCTGAAGAAAGCCCATTCAGCGTCATCTCCTGGTGACCTTTCTAATAAAAATATTCATTAAAATTTTGACCAATCAGAGAGATCATACTTCAGCGACATTTGGGAAAATGAATGTAGAAGTGAAAGTAGGTGTGGAGAAGATCGACTTATCGTTTCGTACAAAACAAAGAGCTAAAAAAACAGAACAAAAGCAAGTACTTATTATATTTCTGTACATAAAATACTGTGGTTGTTCTCTTGGCAGGCTACAGAAACTAGGTCATGATTTTTCGTTGGTGTATCATCTGGTCTTTCACTTCTGTAACTGAATTCCGAGATACTTTTAAATTCTCAGAAGTGAACATTTGATTGGATAATTCAAAGGTCACCAGGAGATGTTTTTTCTTCACCTTGTGTAGCTATTTATTTGTGGTATAAGGATATCTAATGGTGCTATTTTACTGTATTGAAATTGATTATATAATTTCTTTATAATTGTGTTTTACTGTAATTATGTTTGACATAAAACAGCTCTACTATAAGTTTTGGTGATATCTATAGTGCTAGTATTTATATAGTAGTTTTGCTATTTATAGGTATAGGGATATCTATGGTGCTATTTATAGGTATAGGGATATCTATATGTTGCTATTTATAGGTATAGGGATATCTATGGTGCTAGCCTCTACACTGGTGGGGATCTACTACAACATGGTCAATGCCTGGGCCTTCCATTATCTCTTCTCCTCAATGATGGCTACCCTTCCCTGGCTAACCTGTAACAATGCGTGGAATCAGGACAGTAAGTGATCGTCCAATCCCAGTATCTCAACAAGACTGGGAAATAATCGGAGATACCCAAGTGTCTGAGTTAATGAAATTGGAACATAAATATAAAATTTTGCAAGCATGGACTCTAACAAATATAGTGTATTTTATTCTGTATGGTCAAAATCTATTCAGCTATTTCTTTTTTCCCTACAGCATGCAGTTTGAACAAGTATGAAATCACCAACTGCTCCTTGTTGAACACTTCCTATCTGTATGAACCGGTAGTGAGGAACATCTCCTGTGTAGAGACCTTACTGAACTGTTCAGACACAGGCCTTTCCCCTAGGCTCTCGGATTCTGTCACCTCCTGTATCAGTGAGCTGAGGGACAAGGTGGGGGACGAGATCTTCCTCAATTCCTCCTGGATCAACTCCCGCAAACTGACCAGCCCCAGTGAGGAGTATTTCTAGTGAGTAACGAATTATCTCAGCTTTTGTAATACTGTAATGATGTACAGTGTTGCTCTAAAGTTATGGAAATTTTGTCATATTTTATTTAATAATTATAATTATAAAATGTTAAGTTTTCTGTCATTCCGTATTTAGTCTTTGTCTAAGAGTTTTATTACATGGAAATGAGAAAAAACCAGGGTTTTGGATTAAATGAAAGTTTTTCTTGGGTGCTTGGTTTGGCATTAAGTTGCAATATGGCAAACTTTGTATGGCACAACATTGTTAAAAAAATATCCAGGGAATAATCATTCAAATACATTTACAAGTTGTACATAAACTGATTTGCATTTATTATTCCATCTTGCACCGAGTTGACAAAATTTGAAGAAAAAACATTTAAACATAAAAGGCTTATTCAAAAAATTTGAAAAAAATTGATTTTGTATATACAGAATATATTTTTACATTTAAACAACCCGTTTGATGACAAGGTTACTTATTTAGAAAAATTTTATGGAAAGGAAAAATTTGCAGTATGAGGAATGTGATATATACAGCAATAACCCAAGTTTTTAAAGATATTACATTAATGAGAGGTCAAAAGCCAAATATTGATGACATGAGCAGTCTTTGAATAATTGTGTCTTGTTTTACTTTATGAAACATTTTACAATGTTATTCAAAAGAGGGTCTTTACAATGTATTTGAACATGTTAGGCATAAAAAATCTTATCAAGAACCACTGGGCCAAAGAGTATGACATTTTTTTTTAAAGCATTAACTTCCAAAGATCATACTCGCAAATGCCCTAAGGGTTATTTTTCATTGCAAGGAATTTGAAATATAATTTTAAGTATGAAGGCAGATTTTTAAAATGTATTTTAAAGCAAGTTTCTTCTATTTCTAGTTGTCTCACTGGAGGTTTTAGTCCTATTAGGCCAGTTATAGTTCTATTTTCTTTTACTGAAAGATTCCATCTACAAATTAAAATGCTTTTAACCATAGAAATGGAAACTTTGTTACCAGATTTATATGTGTGAATTATAAGTCCCTGCTTTTGCAGAAAATTATCTGAATTATTATACATTTAAACAAATGAATGATTTCAACTTAAATAAATGATGAAGATCAGATAATATTCCAACTTGTCTGAGTGCCTCAATTGTCCATTTAGAAAAGCTCTAACCATGCCAACAATTGAATCATTTGAAACTGGCTTTGATTTTCATTAAGACAATAATGTGGGTCATATAGTAAATATTATATTTTTGGAAGGATATATCTTTATAATATTTTTCAAATATTTAGCATTGTCACACATATAATCCTGTATGGCATGAAATTCACAAAAATGGATAATCATAGTTTCATTAAACTAGGTTTATCTGTACATCAAACCGTAAACTTGAACATGTTTCACAACCGTAAACTATAAAAAAAACAATCATTTGCGATTGCAAAACATAGATTATCTGATAAATACAGCTTCACGATTTGTAAACTATAGTTTACAAACAGTTAACTATAGTTAACTTTTTAGTTTCATGATTTGTGAAACATTAATTTCCAAAAATCATACTTGCAAATGCCCTAAGGGTTGTTTTTCATTGTAACTAAAAAAAATTGTAATATAATTTTTAGCATGATGATAGATATTTTGTTCAGTGTTCACTTATTTTAAGTCCATAGTGTTCAGTTTGAGGGGATATGATTTTGTTGTTGAAAGATCCACTTTTTGCTGTAACAGTTGTATTAAATTTCAACATTTCATGGGATACATGAATTTGTGGGTCTCTTTATACAAAGAAATCAACAACAACATAAAAGCCTCAAAAACTAATGATAAAGGCATGCACTCCAATTTTGCTTCTTGACATTTGCAGCAATAAAGTTCTGAAGCGTTCAGGGAGCATGAACGAGCTAGGCAGCGTGCAGTATGAGTTGGCTCTGTGTCTGCTGCTATGCTGGGTCATCGTGTTCATCTGCCTTATCAAGGGCGTCCGTACTTCTGGGAAGGTCAGTAGTCAGTGATTCAAAAATGTCAGAATTCTTTGAAACATGATCAATTATTAATCAAAGGACTGAGTGTACTGAGAGCACTGAGTCCAAATTTAGCTGAGTTGTTTACCATTACGACTTCCATTAGGAACGGATGCGTCACTTGCTTATATAGGAGCATTAGTTAATGATGCAAATAAATCAATGAGATTGTAGTTCATGCATTTGCCAGCTAAGAAAAAATAACAGAATTGCTTCACTAAATGTGACATTGAAATAAAAATAATTCATTAACATTCAAAATTTAGATTTTTAAGTGTACAAATTAATTTGAATAGAATTACAATCTTTCCATCCCCCATTATATCTCTTGCCCTTACATTGATACATGTATAATCCAAGTTAATCTTGAGATGCAGTTCTCACAATTTTATAGGAAACACTCTATTTTTCCTTGTAGAAAATAGTTTCAAAGGTATATATTCTTTTCTGCTTTTTTTCTTCTTTCATTTTCTTGTTATATGTTACTAATGATATGTTCCTTGTTGAATTTTTTTATCTAATATTTTCTTCCATTTTTTCAAATGGAAAAATGGAATTAATATTTTTTGCATGGAGTTCAAGAATATGCATATGGTCATGTATTGTACATCACTTAATTTTGGCACAAACTTATTTTTGCCAGATTTTTATTTGGTAAAGAAATTCTCCTGAAGTTTATTTATTGTGCTACATTTAATATTTGATTGAAGAAATATGAGATAAAATAAAATTTTATTAGCAAGCAGATGGTCTTGCAAAAGATAAAGTTCTCATGAATAAAAAGTGATTTTCAATTTTGTATATGAACTATAATCAATGGCATGCATTTAATTACAGTAACTGCCTAAATTTTGCAAAACGTGCATATGAAATACGATTAAGAATTATCTAGATATTTTTGCTACATAAAGATAAATTGATATAATAATCAATTTATAGATGTTGACAGTAATACATCCACACATTGGCATTTGACTATGGATTTGACCAAACCTCAGTTGTGTCTAACCTAAGTTGATAAAAAATAGAAAGAAACTGTTCCTTTGCTTAGCACTCTGCACTTCCAAGTGAATGTTGTGGGTCATTTTGATGAGGCCTTACAAATTAAGGGCATCATTGTGGCAGGCATTGGCATTTTAAAGATTCATCCCTGCTCGTTGGCTCTAATTTGTGCTGAACAAAGGTCTAAATTTGAAGCCCTTCAGGGCGGTGTCTCTAATTTGAGTGAAAATTTTTAAAACAGGATTTAAAACAACACACAATCAACCAACCAATCTTAATTCATGCCTTTTACTATTTATTCGAATGGCTATATTCTCATCAGTCCAGCAACTTACTGAACACCATCTCTCCGTTATAGGTAGCTTACTTGGTTGTGATATTCCCGTTCCTGATCATGCTGACATTACTTGTACGGGCCCTGACTATGGAGGGGAATATGACGGGTATTAAATTCTATGTTGCACCCAAGTGGGAGAAGCTTCAGGAACCCAGTGTGTGGGGGGACGCAGCGGTGCAGGTCTTCTTCAGTCTGTCTGTGTGTATGGGAGGTCTCACTACGCTGTCTAGTTACAATAAATTCCATAACAATATTTACAGGTCAGTCATTTACATAAAATTTGCATAAAATTTATATTAATTTTACAAAGGAAATATGAATTTATGTAGCAATACACAATTAAACTTTGAAAGAGATAAAGTATAGACTTAACGAAAAGGATGTTCTTTGATAAATTGAACAAAACGTTTCTTTCTCTAACTTCACATTTATTTGGATGAATTTTGATTAAAAAATTTTCTTTCATTTTTTTTCACAGTGATGCAATACTGGTGTGTTTGGGTGATACACTTATGAGTTTGTTAGCAGGTTTTTCTGTCTTCGCCATGATGGGTGTTCTCAGCAACGAATTAGACACAGATATAGAAAAAGTCATTACTTCAGGTATAACCAAGCTTTCACTTTCTTCCCTCATTGTAATTATACATTTCAATACCGTAGGTGGATTTCTTACTTGTGGGATTAACTTACACAATGTAACTATGTAATCAAAAATTTTGTGTGGTTTGATGCAAATTGCTTGTAAGATGTAATGGCTTGAACAGAAATTGAAATTCCACATATGTGTATCCCCAAGGAAAAAGGATCATCATATTTCTGCAGAAATGAATGCATATGGCAGTGGAGAAGTCAAAAAAAAATTTTGTCTTTACTTTCTAGCCAAAAAATAAGTTTTCAAGCAATGCACACAGTGTAACGACACACCATTCTCTCTCTTGCAGGAATTGGTCTAACCTTTATAGTCAATCCTGCCGCCATGTCCTACTTCCCTGTAGCTCCTCTCTGGTCCATTCTCTTCTTTCTGATGATCATCATGCTGGGCCTCAGTACCCAGTTTGTTCAGATCGAGACGATCATCACCGCCATAATGGACGAAAACTTATCCGTCTTCCGAGGAAGGAGAATCGTGGTTCTGTTTTTAGTCTGTTCTGTTCTCTTCTTTCTGGGATTACCTCTCTCCACACAGGTAAGTCGTTCAAATTCTGTGAAGTGGTAATTTTGATACTGTTGAAGAGGCATTTCAAACCAAATAAAGGGAATAAATTTACTGTCCATGAGAATAGAATGGTGTCCTTGTTTAGGTGAAAGAGTGAGGAAAAATAGATGGTAAGCCAGAATAAATAGAAATAGATTTTACAATTTAGTGAATTATTCAATGTTAAATACCTCGTTTTAATTATCAAAGATACGATATCAATATTTTTTTTTTCGAAATGCAGATTTTCTTAGATTTGAAATGAATGACTCCATTGCTTATAGGGTGGAATCTATGTACTGACTCTGATTGATGAGTATGCAGCAGGCTTTGCCACTATGGTGAATGGTGTGTTTATGTGTGTTGCCATTGGCTGGATTTACGGAGTGCGACAGTTCTGTACAGACATCAAGCGTATGATTGGTCACTCTGTGGGATACTGGTGGAAGGCCCTCTGGTGTGTCATCTCGCCTATCATAATCACAGTAAGTATATACTGTTAATCACATATTTTCCTGGGGTCAATTTTTTTTATTTTGAGGTTGGAGAATGTTTAGTAGTATTGCATATGAAAATTTACATTTCATTGTGGTCATAAATTCATGGGATCTCTCTATGCCTGGAAAACAATGAAAACTAAACCCCCACAAAAATTAGTGATTTCACAGTAAATGTTGAGTCTCCAGAATTTTTTTTTTTAATTTTAAATCAGAAGATAATATGTTCAAATTTTAACCAATAATAAAGTTTTGATTTATTACTGTGATTTATTCTTTTCAGTTTATCATCATTTTCTCCTGTATTGGATACAAGTCCCTGTCAGAGAAGTATAAATCCGACAGTTATCCCCCTTGGTCTGAGGTCCTGGGGTTCTTCATTACAAGCATTCCTGTGTTAGCCATTCCTCTGTGGATTATCTGTAAACTGGCACTCAGCCAAGGGGGACTAGTCAAGGTAAAAACTTTGTTTTGGGAGTTGCTTATAGCTCAAGCTGATTAGTCATTAAGGTTTTAGAACTGTGTACATTCTCAAGCAGTGATATTTCCATTGCCAATATGCAGTTCTATCGTGCACACTATACAAATATATGCAGAGAAAACTCTCTATTAAAACTAAATAAATCTTATCACAAGAAAATATTAAGAGTGACAGGCAGTCTACATTTTTTGATGTCTTGCAGAGGCTTAAGAAGCTGTGTCAGGCAGAGTCCAGCTGGGGTCCAGCTCTGGAGAGAAACTGGAAGAATGTGGAGTACTATCCAGCTGTAAACACTAATACCCTGGCAGTGGATGTAGAACACTCCCCTCTCCACACAGTCACAGGTATTACTTGGGAGTATTATTGGTATAAGCACTAACCAGAAAATAAATAATGTGCTGCAGAACATGTTATTATTATTTAAATGCCATTCACAAAAAAAAGTGCATTTGTTGTGCAAGCAAGTCGAAATAGATTATGACAACTGCATAAAAAAATTAATCACCAAAATTCTGATTGCAAATTTATCTTGCTTGTATACATTGTATGAGTTCCTGATTTTTTTTTTCAGACCATGTAGATTTTACCACAGTTGGTGTAAAAGTGCCAAGTCTTTCCTCCCAAGCAAGTTTGTTGCCCAAGTCCCTCTCCCCCAAGAAACCCAGAGACATGAGAGAGCGGGCCATACTGAATCATGCTTACAGCAATCCTCAGTGTCATCAATCTATTGGTAAGCATGGACTAGATACTATCCATGTACTGCAGAATGTTTACAACTTAGAGGATATACAATCATATATATAGTTTGTAAAAATGTTGATATATCTGAGGGGTGGAGATACTGATCTAAATTACCTAGAGGAAAATCAAACAGACTTTGACACATCTGATATGGTATCTGAGGTTTCTATGAGATACTAAAATTGAACTGCAAATATTTGTCACAAAAAATGTAATTTTAACACCTTGGGTATTTCTTATGAATTCTATTGGGTCTTTGGGATTTATATGACAATGTATATAGTTTGGAACATTATTGTTTCCATAAAATATACTGATTTAATCATAAGAGTTTTATTTTTCCTGTACAGTATCAATAGAGAAGGCAGTAGCCTGTGGTCCCAATGAGCCGCTGTATGCTGACACGGATGTGTTGATTGTACAGAAGTGTTCCAAGAGATTCATTGAGATGAAGGACGTGGCAACTCAAACAGAACCCATCATCAAGAAGCCTCCATCTACCTCCATTTCACTTGTAAGTCGTTGTTTCTGTAATGTGTTCAATAGCTAGACAGACTTGGGTCCCTAATGATTCAGTTTTGCAAAATCAAGTAACAGTTTGCAGAGAAATTTTTGCTGTACATTTGCCCTTTGTCATATTGCTGTACACCTTTCTTCTTTACCTTTTTTATAGAGTGTTATCCACAAAAAGCCAGAATCCTTTAACGAAACACGTCCATCTTGTTCAACTGTTCATAATGTCGCCAATTCCACTGATTCAACAGTTCCAAGTAGTTCCACAAGTCCACCAGTTCCAAGTTGTTCAACAAGTCCACCAGTTCCAAGTTGTTCAACAAGCCCACCAGTTCCAAGTAGTTTCACAAGTCCAACAGTTCCAAGTTGCTCCACAAGTCCAGCAGTTCCAAGTTGTTCCACAGATCTTTCAGACTTGAGCTGCTCCACAGATCAAACAAATATGCATTGTTCCACGGAACAGCTTGACTTAAGTAGTTCCATTGATCAAACTTTTTCAAACAATTCACCTGTTTCCAATTGTTCCAATTTCCAAATGGACTTGAATTGCTCCATGGAATCACCAATTTCTTGTTCATTCGTTGACCCTTCTGATTCAGCATGGTCCACTGTTCAAGAAATCCCAATTTGTTCCATGGACCAAAAAGTTTTGGCTCCTTGCACTGATAAGACATGTGTTTCCAGCAATAGCCCAGCAGTTCTACAAGTGGAGGTGACCAAATTTTGATGATTTGTTACTGAATCAGATGTTGGATCATATGAACTACAGTGTAGCATCTAGTGATGGCAATCTAGTTATCCAGTGATTGCGACAATTGATCCAGTAATTGGGATTTAGTTACCCTGTGATTGGGATCTAGCTATTCAGTGAAAATGAATAGCGATCCGATGATTGTGATCATGGTGATCTATTCTTCCAGTGATGGGAATCTAGCTATCCAGTGATAATATATGATTTGTCAAATAGTGCTTCAGTCTTCCAAGTTAGCTTTGTATGTCTTTCTTATGAAAGAAGATGCAAAGTACATGAGCTGTATTTGAAATTTTTTCTGTGGATATTAATATTGATTGCGTTGCAGTTGTTTATATTTTGTGCACATGATTGTTGGCTTTCTTGGTTGTAAAATGTGCATAAGAATGGATTTTATTTGTTCACTTGATATTCATAAAAATATCATATACATGCAAACACTACATATCAGATAAATGTTTATTTTAACACACCTCCTTTGTAATTTTTAACAACGTGTGCAATGTGAAATTGATGAAACAGCTTGATCATCTTGGACTTCAGGTATAATTTGAATAACAGACATTAATGTACAACATCTGCCCATAAATCAGGTTGCTTTGTTTCTTTTGTGTCCATTGACCAATAATTTTGTTACAAAATATTTAGTCTAAATTCTTGGTGTGATCATGATTTGCTTTGTTCCATTGTATTTGTATGCCAATGATGATAAAGTGCAGATTGAATAAGCTAGGTCACTACCTGAAAAAAATTAATCCCACAGTTCAAAATTCCCTGTGAAATCCATTGTATGTGTAACATGTAATAAAGCTTATGGTGATACTTCATTATGTTTTATAAACACTTGTTTATTTAAGGTGAATCGTACTTTTTGGTATGATCACTATGTTGATATATGAAATAAAGCATTTTAAAGAATGGTACTGTTTTCTTTGTGATTTGGATAGTATATATACATGGTATACACTGTGATTGAAATGATGAGTGTCCTGTGGTAATGCATATTGTGAGTTTGATTCAAACTGGTCACCAAGGACAGCAGGGGCCACAAAACACAATGGGAATATGGTATACTGGTTTAATTTTGCCTCGGTATATGTTATTTTTGCCATTGCTTATGTTTTAAATATCCCCAGAATCGGTTAAGAATAGGCTACAGTGACCCATTTTTCCCAACCAAGCTTGTCACAAAGTATCCTTGAAGGATGCAAAATTAACCCTAACATAACCCTAACCCTTACCTTACCCTAACCTAACCATAACCTAAACTTAACTTTAACTTTACCTTTACCCTAATCATAATCCTTAATAGGTGTCACACAGTGACCCATTTTTCTCTACCAAACATCACAAAGTATCCTTGAAGGATGCGGAATTAAGTTGGTTCAATAGAATGACACCCAGTTTCAGGGGAGATGATGAAAATTGATTGTATCTTTTAAATTCTCCTGAAGAATCTGCTGAATTATGATCAGTGATAGTGTATACAGGGTTATTTTGTCTGACACTTGCAAACAATTTTGCCCCATACTAGTTTTTGTTATTAGTCCAATCATATTTTTTTTTTCAGAAAACCTATCCATATTTTTTTATTAGTTTAGTCACAATTCCATTTCAGAAATTATACTCTTATTTTTATTCAATTTGCTCACCTTGTATTTTATGGGATATAAGGTATAATAAAGATTTAATTTTGCCTTGGTATGTTTTTTTTTTGTCATTTTACACATCTAAAAGTAATTAAGCCATGTTTTAAATATGCCATGAATAAGTTGTGAAAAGGCCACAATGAACCGTTTTCCCAAACAACCCTCAACTAACCGTAACTTAACCCTTACTAACCCTAGCATAACCATATCCCTAACTAACCCTATCTAACCCTAGGATAACCCTTACCCTAACTAACCCAAACCCTATCTAACCCTAGGTTAACCCTAACCCTAACTAACCTTAACCCTAACTTACCAAAGCTTAACCCTAACTAACCCTAGCTTAACACTTACTAACCCTAACCTTAACCTAACTTACCCTAGCTTAACCCTAACTAGCCCTAACCCTACCTAATGCTAATACTAACCCTAACCCTAACTATAGTCCTAACCCTAACTAATCCTAGCCTAACCCTAATTAGCCCGAACCCTTACCTTAACCTTAACTAACCCTAACTACCAGGGTATAGCCCTAACCCTAATCTTCCCTAACTAATTATCCTAGCCTAATTCTAACCCTAACCCTTACCTGACCCTAACTAACCCTTATCATAATCTAACCTGAACAAAAACCTGAACCTGAAGAATCTGCTGAACATGATCAGTGATACGTACACAGGGTTATTTTCTCTCTTTCACACTTACAAACAATTTTGCTCCCTATTCTTTTATTTGTCCAGTCACAGTTCAGTTTCATAAATTATGCTTTAATTTTTTTTTTTGCCCCATTTTAAATTCATCCATCTTGGGGTAGGACAAAAATGAACGACTTCCATGGATACAGTATTAATTGCCAAGCATCTGATGAATAACGTATGTTAAATCATTGCTTCCAGGAATTGATGTGCCACAGCAAAAGATACACCTTTACATACAATTTGATGTCAAAAATATTTCCAGGATATTGGCATCAGACCATTTATAAGCAATAGAGCATTAGAATGGAAGCATTCTTGGATGTTGCAGACTATGTTTGACGAAGGCCATGGGATAGGATAGGACCATAATCTTTCATGATGATTGACCAGATTTTTTTTTTATGCAGCTCCACTCCCAAGTAGCTCCGCTCTATACTTGGAGCAAACTTGCACAGAGATGCATGTATGCTACCAGACTTGCAGCAGATGCAGAAAATGAAAGTACATTCTCTGAATGAGTCACAAAATTATGGTTTTTGGAGCAGGTCCATTCCCATTTAGTGAATTTAAGTCCTTAAAATGACTAAACTCCCCTGGATAATGCAGCTCCATATCATATTTTTAAATAAAACAGATAAAAACAAAAACAACCAAAAAAAGCACTTCTTGTTAAATTCTTTGGAAATATTATAAATACAAAATAAAAACTGAATAAATTTTACCAGAAAACATATTAGTCACATAAATATACAGTAAAGAATAAACTATCAATTAATTGATAGAAAAAAAAGAAAAAGAAATGTACTACATAAAGTGTACATTTATTTGATATACAATTTGTTACGATATTATCAGCAAGAAATGTACTACATACAGTGTACATTAATAAACAATTTGTTATCATATTATCAGCACTCTACCCTTGAGACAAATACTTTCTATGTACAAATGTGTCTGAAATTTTTAACCATAATTGTGTATCAAAATAGAAATACATGTAGTACACATCAAATTTTGATAATATGATGCATATATATCAAACTAGTTGTAAACTGACATCTTGTCAGTTGTTTGTTATGAACATGAAATCTTTAACCATAATTGTGTATCAAAATAGAAATAGTACACATCAAATTTTTATGATATGATGCATATATATCAAACTACTTGTACAGTGACATCTTGTCAGTTGTTGGTTATGAACATGAGATTACATTCCACCATTACAAAGCTCCGTGAGTGTACATTGTTTTTCATATTTACCAATGAAATGCAAACAAGTTGTTGCATTAACATCCAAATAATCACACAGTTGTATCTAATACTGTTTTAAATGGCAAAGAAAATTAACAAAATAAGAAAAAATAATAACAGAATAATTCTTTTTCAATCTCAAATAGCACTTGAGGTGATAAAAACATTGGAAATGCATAAATTTCTTGCACTAAGAGAATTTGCAAACTCTTACAAACTAATTTCAGGTAACTTTGCATTAATCACCTTGATATGAGTGGTCTCGCATGAGAAAGTTTCACAATTATTTCAAGTTACATGTGTTTTAATACCTGTATTATAACAGTTATTCATATCATGATTTATGGATAATTACCATAAAAAAAGAATATTACTTTTATTTTGGAATTAACTCAGTTCACATTCTCTAGAAAGGGGGGTGGGGGTATGAAAAGATTTACATACTACTGAAAAAAAAAATACAAGGGCTAATTTAGTTCTACAAGAATAACACCAATACATGTACATAAATCTCTGTAAGGAATTTTATATATAATAATGTAAAATTAAAACAAGTTTCAAAGAATAAGTAAGGTGATCAATAATGTCAAATTATTGTTGCAATATGAACATAGATATGATCAAATGCCCTCCCTTCCACTTCAAAAACATAAAATTTAGAAAATGTTACCTTGATAAAGCATAATTCTTGAACAATAAATGACAGTCATTTTTATCAATATGAATCTTTTTCTCATTCTTATAATGCACATTGAGGACAACAAATATTCCTGATTTGGGATGGTGAAGAGAAAAACACCAACATTTATAAATTCCCTTGGACTTTCACACCAAAAATATATTTTTATAAAACCTCCTGAATCAAAATAGTAAAATGTTTTGAGATTAGTTAAGTAAACATGCATTTCTTGCACACTGCTTAAATTAAATAATAGCTATACATGTATAAGAAACCATAAAAGGACCAAAAGTATTCATTATAACTAGAAAACTGACCAGTCAGCAAGGGCCCCGCCATGGGGTAGAATTAATAGGGTGCAGCTTATGGAATGATTAAAAAATGTACGAAGAATAAGCAACAGCAACAGCAACTGTATTCTTAAAATTTCAAGATAATTCCTGAATATTCAAAAACCTGAAAATAATACCCTTGTATTTACATTAGGCAGTAAAGAACAACTTAACATTGAATGTATATTTAAACAATTATGAAGCTTGTGTTATATAAAATGCCAGCCTTCAATGAATGCAAATATCATGAAGGCTTGACCTTAACTTCAAACAAACAGCAGTTGCAGACAAAGGTTTTCATTAATCTTAAAGTGACAGATAAAGAAAAGCCTACTAAATTTTCTGCAGCAGGCTAGATAATTAATCCCAAAGGATTAATTGTACCTCTCTCATCATTTTCTTCTAAAGTTACAATAAGAACTTTTTCAGTATTAATGATAGAATGGGGTTTTTATACAACTACCCTAAAAATTAATAATATTCTTGAATTAACATAAAGTGATGAAAAAGTAAATCAAAAAATCTTCTTTAATCTATTTCTTGTTATTAGAATTTAATGAAATCATAACTATTAAACAAAAATAAATTATAAAAATTTATATTTAAATCCACATTTCAGAGTGTTCATAGCATTCCAAATTGACTTAACTTCAAAACAAACTTCATTTAGACAGAGGTGGTAATTCATCTCAATTTGACAGATAAAGATAATGCTCTGGATTTTCTTCAGGAGGAAAGCTAATTAATCCCAAGGGACTCATAGCAGCATTCAGTTTACAATGGGAACATCTTCAGCAGTTATCTCTCTTTGCCAATGCTTTCATATATAAAGTTAAGGAATCTACCCCACCACCCCAGCTCCAAACCAGGGGACATAGAGAACCAAACTTAGCATCAAAATATGTATTTCTGCCTACTGAACTACCATACCAAATTTGTACTTGATTGGGCAACCATAAAAAAAGTTGCCCATTCATTCTTATGCATAGTTAAGGAATCTACCCCACCACCCCAGCTCCAAACCAGAAGACATAGAGAACCAAACTTAGCATCAAAATATGTATTTCTGCCTACTGAACTACCATACCAAATTTGAACTTGATTGGGCAACCATAAAAAAAGTTATTAGAAAAAAAAACAGAAAATTTGTGGATGGAAGATGGACAGACGGACAGACAGACAGACGGACGGACAGAGTGATTACTATAGGGCACCCGCAAATCCTTGCGGGGCCCTAATGAAAATGTATGCATTCTTTATAATCAGGCAACTAATTAAGGTACTAATGAGTAGGGTTTGGCACAATCTCTGATGTGCTTAATTTATGAAACATTACAAAGTTTCAATTTTCACTTTTCTTATAAGTTTTAAATACACTTCAATATAAATACACATACAATACATTGTACAAAATTTTCATGAAAGACATAGAAGAAAGCCATTTTTCACATGCTTAAAGAAATGAAACTGGAAAAAGCTAAATGCCAAGCAAATGACAAAAAATATTTTAAAGTGAATAAAAAAAAAATGACATCTTTAGTCATCAGAACTTTCCTCCATTTGATTCTCTTCTTGGGAATTCTTCTTAAAAATTTGAAGACCAGCCAAGACTTGTTCTATCACAGTGTGCGCTAATTTCTTTACCTCACACAATGCACTTGGATTGGCTTCTAGAGACTCTAACATTTCTAAGCCTCCTTCACTTTTCAGCAATCGGCAGTATCTTTCCGCTGTCATAGAGAGAAATACAGTAAGTCCTCTATTTACAGACTGAAAAATGCACACTGAAGTAATTTTAAAAAATCTAACACTAAAATAAATCAGAAAACTAATCAACAAGCAAAATGATGGAGCTTTTCTGATCAATGCCTGTCCACCTCCTTTTTAAAAAAACAAGAGGCCCAAGGGCCTTGAATCGCTCTTCTGATGAATTGTACAATCAATAACTTCTATTAGAAGCCTCCAACTCTATTAGAATCATAAGACCCAAAATGCATCAACTTACAAAGTTTGATAATATTTAGCCAGTTAAGACTGAAGATATTATAATATTATTATAAAATGCCATAAGTAGGTCACAGTGACCTACCTTTTGATTGAAATTTTCTGAGGACTCAAGATACATTAATTGACAAAGACTGATGATTCTAATTAAATAAGTACCTGAGATATTCAAAAGTAGGTCATCATGACCTACTTTTTGGTCAACATTCTCTGAAAACCCAAGATGCATCATCTGACAAAGTTTGACGATTCTAAGCCAATTAGTACCAGAGATAATTAAATATAGCCATCAAATGTCAAAAGTAGGTCACGGTGACCTACTTTTTGGTCGAAGTTATTCAAAAACCCATAATAATGCCTAAATTGACAAAATTTGATGATTCTAAGCCAATAAGTACCTGAGATATTCAAAATTAGGTCATCGTGACCTACTTCTTGTTGGACATTCAATGAATCCCTAAGATGCCTCAACTGACAAAGTTTGATAATTCCGAGCCAATAAGTACCAGATATAATTAAATATAGCCATAAAATGTCAAAAGTAGGTCACAGTGACCTACTTTTTGGTTGACGTTCTCCGAAAACCCAAGGTGCCTAAACTGACAAAGTTTGATGATTCTAAGCTTATACTTACCTGAGATATTCAAAAGTAGGTCACTGTGACCTATTTTTTGGTCGACATTCTCCGAAAACCCAAGATGCCTCAACTGACAAAGTTTGATGATTCTTAGCCAATAAGTGCCTGAGATACTTAAATATAGCCATAAAATGTCAAAAGTAGGTCACTGTGACCTACTTTTTGGTCGACGATCTCCGAAAACCCAAGATGCATCAACTGACAAAGTTTGATGATTTTAGGTCAATAAGTTCCATATATACTTAATTATAGTCACAAAATGTCAAAAGTAGGTCACCATGACCTACTTTTTGGTCGTCACTCTCCGAAAACCCAAGATGCATCAACTCACAAAGTTTGATGATTCTAAGCCAATAAGTACAGGAGATACTTAAATTAAGCCATAAAATGTCCAAAGTAGGTCACCGTGACCTACTTTTAGGTCGTCACTCTCTGAAAACCAAATATGCATGGACTCACAAAGTTTGATGATTCTAAGCTAATAAATACCTAAGATACTTAAATATAGCCATAAAATGTCGAAAATAGGTCATCGTGACCTACATTTTGGTCGACATTTTTCAAAGACCCAAGATGCATCTGCTGACCAAGTTTGATGATCGTAAGTCTTAAGGTAATCAAAATATGCGTTTTAAACAATTTGAAAACAAATGTCGGCGAAATTCAAAAAGTAGGTAACAGTGACCTACTTTTTCATAAATATGTTTGAAGGTCCCAAGATGCATCAAAGTACAAGATTTGATGATTCTAAACCTCCCAGTGTCTGAAATTATGGGATTTAATGTTTTCAAAAGGATAAGTCATAAAGTTCAAAAAGTAGGTCATGGTGACCTACTTTTAAGTTGACATTGTTCATGGTGACCTACTTTTAAGTTGACATTGTTCGAGGACCCAAGGTGCATCAACTGACAAAGTTTGATGATCATAGGCCTTAAAGTGTCCAAAATATGCCTTCAAATCAATTTGAAAACAAATCCCCGCAAAATTTAAAAAATAGGTCACCGTGACCTACTTTTGAGTTAACATGATGCGAAGTCGTAAGATGCATCAACTTACAAGAATTGATGATCCTAGTCCTTATAGTAAGCAAAATATACACGTTTTTATTAATTGTAAATTTAGGTCAACTTTGAAGTGACCTTGAGACCACGCCCTTTGCCCCAGGGTAATTCCCCGTGCAAATTTTTATCTTCGATATATCCTGATCCTTGTAAGTAAGTTTGGTGAAAATCTGCCTGGTGGTTATGGAGAAGAAGATTTTTTAGCAATCAGTACTTTTGGTTTTGTTTTCCTAATTATCTCCCCTTGTTTAAGGGTCCCAACCCTTATTTTAGTATAAATGGTAGCTCTTGGGCCAAGGATACCCTGTGACAAATTTGGTACTGATTGGCCAAGGGGTTCTTGAGCTATGGCCCATATTCTAAAAAGTTTACTCACACCACACAAATGGCCATAGCATTAGCTCTTTGAGCCTTTGGCTCAGAAGAGCTAAAAATTCTGCAGAACCACTGAGCTGATTTTGACCAAACTTGACACAGGATATCTTTTAATACAGGGTTTATTTATAAATCTGTCTAAATGAAAAGTCATGTTCCCTTTCAAGAGTTTTTATTTAAAATCTCATTTTCAAGAGCCAAAAATCTAGGAAACATGTGAAAGCTTCTTGGCTTCAGATTTCAAGGAATACTCACGATAAACCCTGGTTAGGTTGCATAGTGCCCATACAGCCCAGTACTGAGCTGCGGGGGTACTGGACTTCAGAAGATTTAGTATTGGGCCAAAGGACCTGTAAGAAAAATACAGATTTACATTCAAGATGAATAAAAAATAAGAATTCCTATACCACACCAACTATACCACAGACGCTTGCTCCTTAGTTATTTGTATCAAATACAGTCAAACCTTGTTAACTCAAACTTGATGATTTGTCAAAGTTATTTTGCAGTTAAAGCCATGTTTTCTGAATATTTTTTGCACTTTTTATCTTAAATTTTTCCAGTATACAATATATGGGTGTTCAAAAAGCAAAGTTTATATGTATATATTTGGACAGAAAGAAGACAAATTATCTATATAATTATCCACAACATCATGACATGGAGGATTTTACCTATAGTTTATATTCCTCTTGCTGTCCAATGGCCATCTTTCTATGGCTTTGAACATCCTCATTATGACTTGATCCCTGGTAGGGTCCATGACCGTCCAGGCTTCCTTGCCGTCTGCCATGATGTGGGAGAATATTCCTACAGCATTGTAGCTCACTTCTATTCCATCCTTCTCCGACTCCATTAACTCGCTAGAAATCAGTAAAACTTGTTTAGTACAAACACAGATATTGTGAATTCACAGATAAAGCGATGTTATCTTGGATCCCAAGCTATATGAATTTTAAGAATTCCCTATAAGGATATAACAAATTATGGATATAGCAAAGTAATTTAATAGTCCCAGTGACTTAGTTATAACCAAGTTTTACTGTATTGCAGCAAGGTTTTCCATTTACTTTCACATCATTTATGTTTATCTTTGATATATGAATTTTCCTTTCTTACTTTTTCTTTCTCAAATTTTGAAATTTTAAGTACATGTCCTTTTTAAAAGTATATTTTGTTTGTTTGATAAAACTGATCTAATTAAAGAAGACTTACCAGAAAGTGATCAAGAAATCTCCTCTCATCAGTTGCTTTCTAAGTTCCTTAACTTCAGCTATATTTCCCTGAAAAGATCAAGCAATAAAATTCTTTGGTCACCTCTTTTCATATGTTGTATTTCTTTATAAATGACTGACACTGATTGTATAAATAATTTCTTATATTATCAGATTATCATGTCAAGAAAAAATTACAAAGACCAAACAGAAAATCACAAAAACAACATACTAGTAGTCAATCATGATGATTATACTGGAAACCAATGAAAAAAATAAATTATCGGAGCATAATTATATAAACCTTCAACAGTTTGTATACTTTATCTTACCATTAGACCCATCATGTTTCTGAGAAGTTCTTCATTGTTGGGAAATTTCTGCAAAAAAATATTTTAAATTTAAAAATTATCAAGATTACATGTACGTTGGTAGAAAAACTGAAAAACACTATTTTGTTGTAATGCTATATTTAAGATGATAGGGAATTTAATCTAATAATCACTCATGAAAGAAAGTACACCACCATAGCACATGATACACTCATTGAAAATACATTCCATCTTAAGATGGGCGTATAAAAAATCTTTGAAAGAATGAGTCAAGTCATCAATTCTCTTACCTGTAAACATTTTTTGAATAAATCTAGACCATCATTGTCTATAAATCTCCTGCAATTTTCAGCTGTCTCATAGCTGTGTCAAAAAATCTTCTAAATATGTGATTAAAAAAACCTATTTGAACAAGAGGTGTTTGTACCATAAATAATAAACTCCCAACTTTATTATTGCTTCTTAGGGGCATAATCTCTGAAAAAAATTAGATTTAATCTTTTTTGACCTAGATATTCATCTGATAAATCTGCATACCAAATTACGTTTCAGTATGTGCAACCTCTGTGAAGAAAATTTAATTCTCGCGTTTAATGATTGATTTTTTTTTAAGTATTAAAGGGCAATAACCACAATTCGTGAAAAATGGCGCAATCGCTAATCAAGACAAATGATTATCTAGATATGTCTGATAAAGTTTAGTGATCTACCAAATTTCATTTCAGATGACGCAATCTGTGAAGAAAATGAATGGAAACACGTGACAAATAATTGGCTTTTTTGCCAAGGGTTTATGGGGCATAACTATTCCAAAAACCCTTTGCTAGCGAAGATGCAATTCTCTTACCTGTAAACATTTTTTGAATAAATCTAGACCATCATTGTCTATAAATCGCCGACAATTTTCAGCTGTCTCATCTGTTAAAAAAAAGACTTCTAAATTATTGTAAGTCTCTAAAAAAAACTTTTTTTGAAAAATTCAAACTATGTGCCATTGTATTTAATAACAAGGATTTCATGTTTACTTATTTGTAATATTAACACTGACTATCTAATATTGGAACTTGAGTATCTAAAAAAGAATGATTAAAGTGCCTTACCAAGTGAGACAAAATCTTAATATATGCTTCTGTTGAAAATGAAATCTTCCCATTTCTCTTAATATTTTTCATGCCTACATACATTTCATGTTTTGGTAAACAATACAACCTGTGAACAACAGTAGTTTTGTACTTTTACACACAACCGATGTTCAGCAGCAAAGCAATATGCTCTCCCTTCTTTGAATGGTGGCAAAAAATTCAAACTATGTGCCATTGTGTTTTACGGTGTATAACAAGGATTTCATGTTTATTCATTAGTAATATTAACACTGACTATCAAATATTGGAACTTGAGTATCTAAAAAAGAATTATTAAAGTGCCTTGCCAAGCGAGACAAAATCTTAATACATGTATATGCTTCTGTTCTCAATGAAATCTTCCCATTTCTCTCATTATTTTTCATGCCTACATGCATTTCATGATCCAGTATCAATACTTATACAATACAATACACTCACCTGTGATGTTCCACATCATGCTCCAGGCCACTTCCATATTTTCATCACACTGCTCCAGTGCCAGTTTTCTTTTTATAATTTTCAGCATGGCCTAAGTGTAAGTAGAAAACAATTAGCCATTATCTTCTGAACATTACTTTATCATTATCATGTTCATAATGAAGCATTTTTCACTTCTAAAACACAAGAAAATATTGAATTTCATCAAAATACAAAACTTTTGCAATGACTTTGTAAAAAAAATGTTATTGATTCTTGTGTGTAAGAAGCTTCTCTTTTTTTTTTCTTTATATTGATTTAAAAAGTTCTGAAAGGACAGTATGACCAAAAACAATGAAACAATCCACTCTATGCTTTGATGAAAGATGCTAATACATTATTTTCTGTTGCAGACAAGATATAACTCTTTTTTCAAACCTCAATAGCCCCCAGCTCCCCGAATGTCAGTTTTTCTTCGCCGTCCACCTGGCAGGCGATACAGTTCAACAGGATTATCCCCAGTCTCTGAATGAACTCCTCCTGTGAATCTGAAGCGACGACCTCCATCAGATTCTTGGTCATACGCCGATGACAGAAGGTCTGGAATTAAAAACAATGGGGCCAAGGATTTAACAGTCAACGAAGTGATGTATTATCAGAGGTGAATATACTTAAAGGGAAATAACTTCTCTCTAGAATAGTCTAGAATATAGTTGTCACTGTTTCCAAATATTAATAAGTAAACATACCATGTTGTCTGGGAGGTTCATGCTACAGAAATTCAGCAGTACATTTCTCAGCACCTTTAAAAGAGAAAAAAATAATAAACATTAAAAATAAGTCCAGTACATACATGCATAAGCATTCAAAATTCCCTCCCTGCCTCCCAGAAATATTTATTTATTAAGATTTATCACAAGATACATTTTACCTGGTGTCGTGTCTGAGGTATATAAGGAGCATAAAGATGTTCGCCAAGACTTACTGTAAACAGAGTTATTTTCGCCCTGTGTTATTTTTGCCCTTTCAAACTTGCAAACAATTTTGCCCCATTTTAAATTTGCCCAGTAATAGTTTTGTTTAAGAAATTATACTGTTTTCTTTGAATTCGCCCCCTTATAAAATCGCCCAAATGAGGGTAGGCCGAAAGGGATAAAAATAAAACGGGGAAAAAATTTCCTTGTACAGTAAAACTGGTTTAGTACGAATACGGATATTGCAAATTCACGGATATAGCAAAGTTAATTTGGATTCCCAGCTATATAAATTTAATGAATTTATTATACGATTATAACGAATTACAGATATAGCGAAGTAATTTCATAGGTCCCAGCAACTTTGTTATAACTGAGTTTTGCTGTATACTGTATACTTGTAGGAGAACAATAAAACTTACTGTTTTATCCAATCTATGTTCTTCCATAGCATCCAACAAAGTCCAAATAACTCTCCTGAAATGACAAAATACTCTCTTTGTACATAGTCACCCCGCAAACAGCAGAACTAAGTGTTATTCAATGTATCAAAAAATTGTCCATCTACTTGATTTGTATTCGTGTGCAAAATATATCCACAAGTTCCGCAACCTACTTTAACTCACAAATAAAAATCGACACAAACCAATCATTTTGCTTAGTATTTGTAGAGAAATGTTTCCTCAGTCGTGAAAATTAATTGTCACGGATTGATTTCAAACTAACATTTTGCAAATAAAAGATGACATGATTAATAGTTGGTTTACAGTATATCATTGCTTCTTAAGTTACCTCTGCACATGTACACGTATATATTCTGTATGGTGTTTATAATGTTTAAATGTTAACCAACCATTTGAAATTAATTATTGTACATGTATATATAAATTTCTCACTGACAAATCTACTAAGATTCCCCAATTTCTGAAGCCCACAGTGTTAACTGTAGATAACACAGTATCAATTGTACATGACTATATCCTGGCTTTATTTTACCTTCTCTGAAGCTGTGTGACCTTTTCTCTGTTCACTCCTTTGAGTATATAGAATAGGGCAGCACTGTAAACAAAATCAATCTACATTAAACATTGACAAATTTTAATAGGGTCTTGAAACAACATACAACATTACCTTTAACTGATACATGTACAATATTTTAGTTCATATGAACCAAAGGCTCAGGTAAGTTTTTCTGATCACATTCTTACTGGTTTCTGTCTGTCTATTAACTTTTCATATTTTTTTCTTAAAAGGGAACCACTAGGCCAATTTCAACCTATCTTGCTGAAAGTATCTTTTGGTAAAGGGGATTCAAGTTTGTTCAAACAAATGGCCATGCCTTCTTCCAAAGGGAGATGCTTATGAATTAGTGATAAATTATTGACATTTAAAATTCTTTTTCTCAAGAACCACTGGGCTAGTCAAGAGATTAAAGTTTGATTGACTGAGAGTCACTTCTACACAGTATCTAAATTAAACATGAACTGACCTTCCAGAAATCTGAACCTGCTTATTCTTCCAGTTATGCTTCATCCCGGCCACAGTGGACTAAAATGAAACAAGAAAAATGCTTTTAATTGCTTTAATCAAACAATATCTTCACAACTAGACATGCCTCAGACAATTTTCCCAATTAGTTTTGATTGATGCATATTGCTTACCGAGGGGACATGTATTAAATGCTTCTCTCTGTTTAAAATTAATGACACTGTTCTGGGACATTAGCAGAGAAAAGTCAAAGAATGAACTACCATAGACATATAACATTTGGCTGTGTATTATATTTAGCTCCTTTCGCAGAGAGCATCTTCCGCTAAATGAAGTACATTTCTTAGTGTCTTTTTTACATATATTCATATAAAACACATTCAAAAGGCACTTATTCAAATCTCCAACAACTTCCTAAAATATCAATTTCCGCCAAATATCATACACACCAAATAAAATACATTTACAGTTAATATCAATCAGTGCTATATAAACTACACTAGAGCTAGATAATTATGTACAGTGAATGCCCCAGCCATTTCTGGAGATGTGAAAAGTAACAACAGAGATCAACCAGAGATCCCCTTAATGACTAAATATAATTAGTGATCCTACCTCTAATGCCTGGCACTGATCATGCACTTCTTCATAACGAAGCATTTGGAAAAGATGATTCAGGGCTGAAGTGAGAAGATGTTCCTTGTCTTTATAAAGTCGCAGGGCTAGCAAAATCTGTTCTTCTGTGTGGCTACCGGTCACCTGAAATTTCAACGCAACAATTACTTTTAAATTAGTCATTAATCACTCAGTTCTATACCCCAACATTTCAACAAATTACTCAAATTTGAATTGTTCATTGTTTAATAAAAGCAAGGACCTTAATTTCTAGGTTTTTTCCCCTATATTTAACCTTTTTTGCTGGTATATATTACTCTTTCTGTTGGTATATATTACCCCTTTCAACTGGAGTATACTGTATATAGGAAAATTTTTGCCCCCATTTTATTTTCGCCCTTTCGCCCTCCTCGCAATTGGGTGATTTTAAAGCTGGGTGAAATAATAGTAAGAAAATGGCATTAAATCTTAAACAAAACTGTGTCTGGGCCAATTTTAAATGGAACAAAATCTTTTGCAGGTGGAAAAAAAAGCGAAAATAAGACACAGCAAAAATAATCCGGTATACAGTACATGTATTACCCTTTTGCTGGTATATATTACCCTTTTAGCTGGTATATATTACCCTTTTAGCAGGTATATTTGCACGTTCACATGGACTATCAGGACAGTCCAGCAGGCCCAGAAATTCCAATTCTTTCCCTTCAAGTCCTGGGATGCAACAATCTCTGTATGAAAATAAAAAGATTAAATGTATACCTATAATAAAATCTCTATTCTAAATGGGCATGTACGATTTCATGAATTTAACATGATAGTAGAACATGTTGTGTGCAATGTTTATCATTGATAAAACAAAAGGTATACATGTACTTCCATGCATATCAAGTAACTTGAAATATATATTGTAAATGGCAAGGTGGCTAAGCATGACTTTCTGAGCCAAGTTGTGCTCATAGCCATAATTGCATAGAAAGGACAAGGAGAGGTAATGGCCGAATCTGGCCCCCTATTTGATGTAAAAATCAGAACACTGGTATAAATTGTGAAAGTTTATAGTTAAAGAACTTAAACTGATGCTTGCTTTAAAACCAGCAATAATTTGGATTCAAAGGTTACATAGAGGTCACAAGAAGGTGCAGAATTAGGATATTTTCCCAAATTTCCTCTAAGGCTGGGACGATATATCAATATATTGATATATCGTGATGTATGTGAGGACGATACACATATCGATACATTTGAACAAATATCGAAATATCGCCCAAAAAAATCTTACTTCTGTTTTTCTTTGTTTATTTAACATTTGGCCAGGGGTTTAATATATAAAATAAATAAGTTAAATATAAATATAGAAATGAAATAAATAATAATTAACACCACTTGAGTAAAATATTTTTGTTTTACAACATATAAACAACTGTTTTGAATAAATTATTGTCATTTGCAAAGAAATAATTTGTTTATTTCAATGCAACAAAAGATTTTATAAGCAATTAAACATATCGTGATACATATCGCATTGTGGCTCAAATATCGTGATAAATGTATCAATGTAGAAAAAGTTGTATCGTCCCAGCCCTAATTTCCTCAATTCTTGTGGAATATCATCTTACTTGAGATACTTTTCTCTTCGGAAAAAATAGAGCACATGCAGTCTTGCCTATCTGAGATTTTTGCACATATCCTTCTTACCCTATCTTGTCCTTTCTTAACTAAATCTGTGTTCTTGAACATTTTTCAATTCTTTTTTACTTTTACCTCTTTTCTGCTTGCATTCTGAAACTCGCCAAATTTGTTCCTGAAATATCCAAAGAGGTTAGTTTTGGTAAGTTTTCCACGATGTACTCCATGCATTCTTCAGGGTTGTTATGGAAACATGGATTCTCCTCTGTTCCTGATAAGTCTAGGTGTCTACAGAAATAAAAAAAAAATAAATTTCTACACTGATAAGATAGCAAATAAAAAACAACATTTTAGATATACACAGCTTGAATGTTAAATTATTTAAAATATATAATTATATAGGTATGTATATAAAATTTTTTGAATGTATAGTATACCAATGAAGAAAAAAAAATCAAAAAATTAAATTAGATAGTACATGGTTTTAATGAAAATAATTAGCTTACCTCAATTTCTTGGCTTTGCAAATATTTTTTAAAGCCTCCTGCAAATCATTGATGCTTATGCAACTTAAGTCGAGGGAGAGTAAATTTTCCAGTTCTTCGAGACAGTCCATTAATTCAAGGTCAATGACACATGATGATAAATCTAAATAGGTCAAATTTTTTAAGGGACACAAAATGGCCGCCAGTACACTGTGTCCACTACTTGGGTCAGTTTTGTTGTCGTCGCCTTCAAATAAAGCATCCCGTAATACTAATTTTCTAAGGTTTGGACATTTGAAGATGTAATCTAGGCAGAATTTGTTCCCATCATTGCAGTCAGGTTCTGAGTCCAATTCACTCATGTCCATTAAATACAAATAACCAATCAAATTCTGAATGAGACTGTAAGCATCACCAATGATCAGTGATAAAAGGGTTCCCCCAAGTTTATTGATAACTCTTACATGACCTTCGTCCAGATTGCAATGAGACAGGTTTAATTCTCGGATAGGGTGTCCACATGCAAAAGACAATGTTTCTGCATCAATTGAACGCCACGACAAGTCCACTCTGTTTAGTCTCGTAAAAGATGTGTCATTAAAAATTGACAGCCATGCTAAATCATCGGGGTATTCTTCATACATAGACTGGAATAATTTGTCACACAAGCTGGGGTGCTGCAAGGAGATGCCTTCCTTCAGTTTATAGCCATTAGTTAGTTTGTCAGCAAAAGAATCAATATTTTTCACAACTACTTTCATACACAGATCTTCTAAACATTCTGGATTGTTGTCTGGCCAAGAACAAGCCATTTTTACAGTCAATATAAAAACTTGGTCTGAAAAATGAAACAAACTAAAGTTCAGGTTCCTGTACATGCATTATTAATTTTAAAAAAGTGTAATTTCTACAGTATATGCTACAAACTCGGAGATGAACTGTAACTACATCTTTGAAACATGTCAGTGGAAATTTTAGTGAGACGCAAATTTAGTGATTTGTCCTTAAAAACTGTTAATTTATTTTTAGTGAGATGTTATTTTAGCAATTTTGAAATGCACATTAAATAAGCTATCACAAATAAAACGCAATTAATTTTTAGCGATATTTAATTTTAGCTCAACCTAATAATGCCAAATTTAATATATTTCTGTTGACAGTCAAAACAAAGTTACACACAAATACATGTAAGTTATTAATTTTCTCAAGGACCATCAACAGACAAGCATTTAGCATATGTGCCTCCAAATATTATAAAAATAATTCAAGGTTTAGCCATGTTGAATGTGTTGAAGGATACAATGTATATAATTTGTCATCTGTTGGATATAGAAATGCAACCAGCAGTCAAGTTAATTTGAAGTCAATCGAGAGTGTTCTCATATACATGTCTAACACTTGTATTTATACGAAAATGTCCAATGCTATATTAACTAATGTGTTACACTGAAATCTGAAAGTGGCATACAAATTACAAGGTATCTGTTGAGCAAATTTTTGTGTGAATCCAGAATTCCATCTCAGCACTCCATGCAACAATGGCAAATAGACCTATGATTATAAACATTTAACATTTAAATATCTTTGTCCGAGATAAAACTACAAAATAGTAATAAATCTTTTCAATGATTTCTTCATTAAGTTACTGGTTTGCGAAAAGGGGGTGGTTAAAAATAATCATGAAGGGGCCAGGGAAAAAAAAGGAAATTGGGCTAGGCTAGGATCAAGCAATTGAATTTAAAATAATTTAAATGTAAGGAATAAGCACAGGCACCTGAAGTGAAAGCAGTCAAATTCTCTGGTTTTATGATGATGATAAGCTATTGGCTTGCCTGATAATTTTATCCATGGACGCCTTCAGAGTTTAATATAGCTGCAGATCCCTTTAAGTCGTTATGGTTTTATTTATTTGGTTTATATCCATAATGTTTATTTTTTATGGCTGTTTGCTATTCATTTAAACCTCTGATGCTGCAAAAAAGGTGCAATTTACGACACAATAATTTTTGCGCATTTTTGGGGAGAATTTCTCCTCTTTTTAGCATTGGTCAATCAACTACCTTTTACTCCCTAATTCTAGACACATTCTGTAGCAATATGTATATTTTATCCACCTCCCAACCATTTATAGCTGTCTTTACAGTCAAACTGGCTTGAAGTGAATTTACAACAATCTAACAAATAATTTTAATCAAGTGAGTTTATCACTTGTAGAGACTATACTATAAAAGCTTGGGAGATTTTTCAAAATTTAATAAATGGAATCAGCTGATTCATTAAACGAATTTTGCCGATATATAGAAAACTAAAAAAATAATTCGTATATCAAAATACAATGTTGGAAGTACATCATTAATGAATTCATTTCATTATTTTAAATAATTAATATACATATTTAATGTTCCATTTGGATCCATTTGATTTCCTTTTGGGTCCATTTGGGTTCCATTTGGGTAAATCGACGTTGTATGGAATTGACCGATGTTGAAAAGTGGAGAAATTCTCCCCAAAAGTGCGCAAAAATATGGCGCTGAAAATTGCACCTCTTTTGCATTACAGGATCTGTAGCGTAATGGTCAAAGACAAATATATAAAAAAACTATAAAGCTACATATCTGCAGCTAAGTTTAATATACAAACTATCATGAAGGCCAATCACTTAAAATAGACAGTTATTCCTTTAAAAAATTTAATTCATGCAGATTCTTAAATTTATTTTTGCATCTACTTTGAAATGCCTTTCATTAAAAAATGTTAGACTATCTCTTACAGTCTTGTATGCAATAATCTGTAGATTACACAACAGGCACTGCGCAATTTTACGAATTCATTTTGACGATATAATTTCGCCATGCTGTATAAATTAAAAGCTATTTTCCTAAGGAATATACACCAAATATTAAGTTGACCTACATTATTTAAACGGTAATTTAAGGCAAAAAGTGCTTAAAAGTCAGGTTCATCTTTCAGCTCCTTCGTGATAACCGGAAATTTACTTGCAGTGGATAAATAACAAACTTGCCTGGTGACGGAAATGTATTTTCCGGTATGAGAGGTAATGGCGAGACGATCATGAAACAAGGAGGAAATTATTTGTTTGTTTTTTTTACAACTAATTTATAGGAACTCCGTCTATACAGTACTGAATAAAATTTGAACCCTATTAGTTAGGGGTATAACAAGAGACAGAAATAACTATTGACAACATGTTGATTATGATATATTATATAGGCATTGAAAATTGGGGTTTATCTTTTTCTTTAGCCCCATTCCCACTTTCATTTGTCACACCTTTACCTTATATACAATTTGCTTCATAGAAGTTCTGTTAGAGATGGATTTAATTTCTATTTTTATTATTGAAAGAAATACAGTTAACTTATTCTTGAAAAAGAAGACAAAACACAGATGTGTATGGTCAGTAGATTTGATAGGTGGTAATCGTGCCCCAGAATCATGAAACAGACATACACTTAAGTCCATCTTTCAATCACCTGTGAAATATTTATTAATTGCATATTAATTAGTATTTAAATTAATCTCAATTTTTTCAGACAGCAACTCTTTTGTTAAGCAACTTTGAAAAACCTTTTTATTTTGGGCTGCTTGCTTGTAATTTTTACATTTTAGTAAAACTTAAAGATTATGACTTAAGCTACATGTAGGATGTTTCATCAGATCAGACAGATAGATGGGTTGGTTAATCATGACTGGAGATTTTTTAGGTGCCTGGGTTTGGATCCCAATCTGATCCACTGCATTTTCTACTTTCCAATTACAAAAAAATGTACTTTTATCAATTGTCATGCCATGTCCTTCAGTTGGCTAGAAATGATAGGTGAAAGACCTGTGAGTGTGAGGGCAGAGCTTTGGTTGGTGACTTCCCGGGCAAAGGCCTAAAGTAGAGAGGAATATGGAGATCAAATGGGTTCCTTTGCCATGACAAGAATGCTCAGTTGTTAGCCAAAGCAAAACTAGAGATTCAGGGTGTCTGGTTTAGAATCCTGAACCAGTCATTTTCATGTTTTTTCTCTCCTGTTACATAAACAAGCCACTTTTGTAGTTTTCATCTCTACTTTAACAGTTGGTGTCTCAAAAAAAAAAAAATACACATGTATTATAACTTAACTTGTTTGGAACCAAATATAAATCCAGCATATAATATTTTTTGTCCTGTTAATTTTATGTCTACTGAACCCAGAATTTCTTCCCATGTTCTCTTTTATGTCAAGTTGCACTTTGCACAGAAAATGAAATTAATTGAATAAGTAATTTATTTTCAGTAAAACAAAATATGAAGACAGAATGACAGATGATTGTTTTCTGAAATGTGTTGAATATTTCATAAACATTGAACATACATTGTATGAGACAAACAGCAATTATTAGCACTGTCCCAGAGAAAAGAAAGAATGGATGTAAATAAAAGTGATACAATTTTAAGAATTGTAACAGCTTTAGGAATGATAAACAACATAATCATAAATCTTTCCCAAATTCTTCAAAAATTATACATGTCATGATTTGTTCTTTATCACAATTATGTTTCTTCCTCTTTCTCTCATAAATCCAACCATCTCATTTTAATAATGTACAGCTGAAATATCTTCCCAAAAAATTTTATGTATTAATATAGCTCTGATTGGGTATTGTATAAAAAGTCTGGCATATGACATCATGATGACATCATACATTCTTCCTGTCAGTCAGAACTCGGATGATCGTGCCTGATCCTCCAATTGCATACACCTGTAATGGAGAGAATTTTATTAAGCTGAATTAATTTACTGAAAGCAAAGCAATTGGGCCTTTAACTATAACCCCACACAGATCTAATACAAAGCATAAAGCAGCACATAAGGAGGGAAAAAAATCATATCATATCTTACCAAACCTAATTACAGCATTGTATTTTCATAATATTTAAAGTCAATTTTTCTACAGAGCTATAACTTTGGTGCTATTTATTGCATGATATTTACAGTTTCCTGAATTGCATATTTAAGAAATAAATCATGCACCATCCGGACATTATATAAACTGAGAGAGCATCCACGAACTCCAAAATTAATTCGAACATCAGCAGTATGTATCAGGTACTCACTTCAAGGGACTCCTTTGAATAATTCATAATTTAAAAAATACAAAAAAACTTTCAAATACCTTTTCATGCCATGTCAGAAGTGCTGCACTGCTTCCTTCCGATGGAAATTCAAATCCTCTATAAATATATTTCATGAGAATGTCCAATGATTTACTGTCAAGGGCATTAACTCCCTTTTCAATTTCACTTGTTTTAAATGCAGTCAAAACTCGAACCACCAGCTGCACTACTTTGTCCTTAAAATTAAAAAAAAATCATTTCTTCAAATCAATTACCTCTTTATATGGAATTGGTTTGGAATCACAAACATGGATTTGATAAATTGTTTTAAATGGTATTATATACTTAATAATAATGAAAAATTATCTAGCCATTACATTGTAATATAAACTCTAAGTGCTTAATAAAATCATAACAATTAATCTACTTAAAAAGCAAGACTCTTCATAAGCTTACATACCACTATAAAAAGAGGAAGAAAATCTTTAAGCCTTACCTTCATTCTTTTGTCTTTACTACCCTGTAGAGGATTCTGTAAGACAGCTTTCAGAGCTTCCACATTTTTAGCTTAGAGGTGTTAAGGAAATAGAGGATTTAAACATTGAATCTCAAAATATGATTACATTATTATTAAATGCAACTGTTTTGTCAAGTTTATGCTCAATAAGCTTTCTTTTAACAGTAAGAAGCATGAAGTGTAGTTTGTGAAGCAAGCTTTACAAAGAGCAATGCAAGCTCAGTAGGGATTAGGAACAGAAAATTACAAATAAAATTGGTTTATGAAGCAAATTTTGATGGAAAACCTTCCTAGAATTTCTCTGCTACCAGCATTCCATGTGATGGCAAATATAACAGTCCACCAGTTACTGGTTTTATCAAAAAGGCTGATCAAACTTTTTTTTATGGTATCTAGTGTAACAGGAAAGGAGAAAATAGCTGGACCAGGAATTTAACCCGGGAACCCTGTGGCTGCATCACTAGTCAGGTGCTCTACTGACTGAGTTATCCAGGTCAATATCCACAGCCCATTACATTCCTCCCTCCTTAGACAATTTTTGCCCTCGAAGATACAACACAAGTCCTTATTAGCCCCTGGCAGGACTTTCACCTGCAATTCCAGGGGTGGTCAAGGGCACCAAATCTGTTACTGTAACAGGAAAGAAGAAAATTTATGGCTGGACCGGGATTGTCCAGGAATCGAACCCCCGGACCTCTGCATCACTAGTCAGGTGCTCTACTGACTGCCTATCCAGGCCAATATTCACAGCCCACACCATTACACTAGAAACCAAAAGCAATATTAACTAAAATGCACTGAAAATGTATGTTTATTTTGCTACATTGTGAATACACGACCGGGATTGTACTATTTTAACGATAGAACATTCTATCTACCGGGACCTCTGCATCACAAGTCAGGTGCTCTACTGACTGAGTTACCCAGGCCAATATTCACAGCCCACACCATTACACTAGAAACCAAAAGCAATATTAACTGTCCTGCTTGTAAATGTAGATGTAGGCTTGTATGACTACTAGTAATCTCAGCGAAAATGTTGTGCGGACTAAAAATTTTGGTCTGGTATCCTACCAGACCAAAATTTTTAGTCCCTACGACTCGCTGAGATTAGACTACTGGTACTTCTCTGCAAAAAACCTACTTCATTTTCTAAAGTTTCTGACTTTATTCCAATAAAAATATGACACAACTTGCTGCTATGACACACGGAAGAAAATAGGCACAGCAGTCAAAAAAAGGATACATTGGTTTAAATAGTTGGTAACTTCGTTTTCATTGGGACCAACTTCACCAACATCTGTGTCTTCGTTATCTTGAAAGTTTTCTTCATCATACTCGTCAACATTGACCTTTCTAAATTTGCTAGCACCAGTATTTTTTGACATTGTTACTAGTTTTCCCTTTTGCAACACACCCCGGAAGTTATTTTTCTTTCCGGCTTACTACGTTCGTAAATATACGTATTGTGTTAGGTAAGTCGTTCCATAAATATGACCTCAGTGCTGTTGACTTTGTAAAATATGTAATGTAGATCAGAGAGATGCATGTAATACATGTATATATCTTTAATTAAGTTTTAAAAGTCATGTACTTGAATGGTAAAAATTGTAATTTCAATCCATAAAATCTGTATCATACATTTTTTTTAATAGGGCAATCGTTTTTCTTCTTAAAAAAACACAGGTACGGTGCTTGTTTCGGTAATTTTTTAATCAACAATATACCATACTAAAACAAAAATTGCATTTATAAAAACTATACTGTGTTATAGGGTTAAAAATTATTTCTGAAACAAGTGCCTGTGCAGGAGCGGATCCAGAATTTTTTTAACAAGGTCCACCCCAGTCAAAAAATCTCCAACCCAGGAATTTCTTAACAAACCAAAAATACATATAAACAAACTAGCAAAAACATAACAGCAACAACAACGGAAACTCCTTTCCCAAACCCATTTCGCGTGTGTGTATGTGTGTGTGTGTGTGTGTAGTGGGGGGGGGGTATTGTCGCTGCCCTGTCTTCCCAAATTTCATATCTATATAATTATGATTTTATATCAACGGATCCGCGCTTTATAGTCCGGGGCTTGATAGGTGGAGGGAGTTCCAACGTCACATTTGATTGGTTAAGTCTGCAAACCCCGTGGGTGGGGATGGGGGGTCCGGGGACCCTCTATAGATCCGCGCTTGTTTTTTTTTTATTATTTAAAAATATTTAAAAAAAATGCCATTAAATCTTAATTTTTTAACATATGATATTTTGTCGACGGAATTTAAAGGAAAGAAAATTTATAATTATACAGTTTTCTTTTTATTCAAAGTTTATATTCATTTCCTGATCCGATCAATTTTCGATGTAATAAAAATGGAATATACTTTAACACAGTAACCACTAACCACGTTTTGTGCCAAATTATAAAATTTTCTTGCATACAACGATATCGATCATGTTTTCATTCCGAAATTCAAACCAAGAAATAAAACTAAACATTTTGTGTTTTAAAATCATGCAAGCTATATGGTAGGCTATTATAAAATAGAAACACTTCTCTTATAAATAAAATTTAATTGCATGGTAATTCTTTTTTTTTTAATTAAATATTGTAAAATAGTTGAAACATATCATACGTATTGTGTTCTACAAGAATAATTAATGAAGCAAATCTCTCTTAATTATTCCCTCTCTTCATCTCTCTCTTTCAAAGGTAACATAATTGAATTTTCTGAAATAAGATTCTTTCTTTTAAGGTGTGTAAATTTCTACTAATTTTTTTTTTATCTGATTAACATGCCCCCATTCTATTTTTTTTTTTAAATAAACATATTTGGGGGTGGGTTAACCCCCCCCCCCCGTTTTATTTAGATATTTCGTTCGGGTTCGTTCTTTAATTCCAGTCGATGTTTTGAGAATGTGGTATAAAAAGCGCCCTCTATCGTCGCCATAATATTTGTCAACATGGTAAAAATTTTCGCTCTGTACAAATCCATCATCATCTAAGCCAGAGTTTATTAATCTGAACCCTTGTCGATAAATTTGGATAAAACAATAATAAAATATTTAATTAAAATATCAGATTTCATTTTGTGATTAATAATATTAGTATGATCGTTATATGTAAGCTAGATGTGTCTCCATCAGAAAGAGATAGTGGCAATTTTTGAGTTTGAAGATGCAATTGTAGTTAAAAATATATATGAATAAGATTGTAATACTAATATTTGTTTCATGGATTTATAACTTCTCGGAATCGTAATTTAAAATGAAGAACTTTCTGCAAACGAACGAGTTTCGTTTATTCTGCAAACCGAATTTCCTCGATCTAATTTAGGCCTCTTACAACAAACACAATGAACTAATAAATGACGTATTGTTTCCAGGCAAAAGTTAAGGCAAAGGATCTCCGTGGCAAGAAGAAGGAGGAACTAACAAAGCAGTTGGATGAACTGAAAAATGTAAGTTTGGAAACAAGATAATATTGCTAACAGTTTGCTGTCGACACGTAAAAAATTAACTGTTTCTTTGGACAAACCTTCGGCGGAGTTTCCAGAAACCATTGGTCCAACCAGCAAAAGTGATAGAAAATTTAAATATCCATTGCAATTTACTATCTTACTGAAGTTACAGAATCATGTGACTGATTTTTATCTGCCATCATTCAGTGACGGAACTTTGATTCTCGATTTTTTTCGTGAACACCATAAAGTTTTCTTCTCTTCACTGTAATGACTTGGCAAAAAAAAACCTGGCAATGTATCAAGTAAAAAGGAGGGTCAGATGATTTCAATTTATGTGTTTAAATTCTTTAATAATAAATGCAACTTTATGTAATCTTCAAAAATTGTTTTAGAGGGGATCTGCTATGATTTGCTACATTTTAGTCTGTAACATATTTTACATGTAACTGTGGTGAGAAATATGTCCCAATTATCAGTCTTGAAAGTATGAATTGTTTTTCAGGAACTTGGTTCATTGAGGGTTGCTAAAGTGACTGGTGGTGCAGCATCCAAACTGTCTAAAATGTAAGTTATTCTGATGATAGGTATGAATAGTGGATTGAACATTCTGGTTCCTTGCTGTTAGGGCTGTCACGGTTCCAAAATTTTTCGGGTCGGGTCGGTTCTGATTTTTTTAGGTTCGGTTTCGGGTTTCTTGGGTCGGGTAGGTAATGGAAGAAAAGCTCATGATTTGTATTATTTTCAACAATAAAAAGAATATTTTCATTTAATCTTAGAAATTGCAACATTATAACTAGTTTAAAGTAGCCTCCTGACTAGACAACAATTGTACCAAATTATTTAAATCACCTTATAATGACAATGTACTAACCAATCTCTCGTTTTTTATAGTAAAATCTACTCTATTATACAAATTGGAACCGAACCGAATTCCGGAAAAACGGAACCCTACCAAACCCGAATTAATTGTTCCGCGGTTCCGGGTCATTTCGGGTACCCGTGACAGCCCTACTTGCTGTTCATTAGAAGGTACATAGAATAATTAAGCTGCAGAAACTGTAGTATTATCATGGTTATGGTTTTATATTTTAGTGTTTGACCATAAATATTGTCCAATTTATGGCACAAGCTTTTTTTGGACACAGACGAGGTTTTATCATTAATGGGATATAAAACAACCAATCAAATACTGCATCAATTAAGCCGGCAGACTGTGATTCATCACATCTCTGTGACATACGATGCAAAGAGAAACTTTTCTCAATTAATTACATCCTCCAACTAGTGGAGGAGGTTTAATTGGCAAAGAACATTTTTTTTCAAAACTTTTTAAACAGCCAGGTTAATATGAAATGCACCAATAAAAGGTTTAAAATGCCACCCCAACCGCTGTTTGATGATTCCTCTTTTAAGTCATATGAAATATTTTTGATAAGTTCAATTAATCAAAATAAAAAAAAATCTAATTTTTTTATTACTTCATATATAAAAGATATGACTTTTCTCTAAGTTGCACAATTTAAATCAATTATGATTCAAAGCTATCAAAAATTTAAGTCAATTTAATAACTATAAAAACGTGAAGATATTCAAGTTCAAAATTCGTTATATAAAAAAAAAAAAAATAAAAGTATCTAACATATATCTACATCTACACTCAATCTCATAAAATTGTTTTTTAACTCTTTTAGGCTATCTAAATTTAATTCCTTGGTTCTCAGGCCAATTTTCTCCAAAACAGATGCGGGAGGGCAGCATTTTATTTTTCATTTTATTGGCAATAAAGTAGATGAGGGAGGTATTTTTTTTATTTCAATTTCCGAATTTTCTTTAACATAGAGATAATTTTTTTAATCACAGATATACTTTCCATTTCTGGTCAAAATTTCTGCTTTATCCATTGCTTAACAGCGTGTAAACATCGTAGGTAATGTCCTCGAATGTATTTTCAAACGAAGTAGCCAAAATCTCATTGTAAATGGCTACCGGAAGTGATATTTGAATACTAAACTACGAAATAAATGAGGTCGGAATTTTTTTTCCCGGATTGGTCTCCGCAACACCAACTTTTTATTTTATCAAAAATACAATAAAATCGGCAATGCGGCTACCTCAAAACGGATGCGCGCGGGCCTGAGAACCAAGATTTCAATTTTATATGGCCTTATAGCTTTAAGTTTGAAACTGAACATGGGCATACACCATGTTAGATTGTACTATCTACGATATCAGCAATGGGGTATACCCTTCACATTCTTTACACCAGCCTGCTTTATTGCTGCAGATATCAGCATGGAATGATGATCCATGTTCCTACTGGTTATCGTGCATTTCCTTTGTTTACATGTCATATAAATATAACAGTAAAGTGTGTTTGTGTTTATTTGTAAATTGCTGACCTTTACAACTGTTGTAAGTTTCTTTGGTATCTTTCTCTCCTGTCATGGAAAAAGTACCCAAGTATACAGTCATTTTTGTTGCTGCTGAGTGCTTTGTAGCAAAAATACTAGTTCAATCAAGTTTAGCTTAATAAATTCAGATTCCCATTTAATGTCAAGTCATTACAGATGATGCAAACTTTTTGGCCTGAAAAATTATGAAGTTTTGCCATTGGATCGATAGGACTGATGTAATGACAAAAAGTATTCTCATTAATATTATTTATATGATGACATCTTGTTTAAAAGAAGAACTTAAGTTATGTCTGGTAATTTTATTTTCAGCCGTGTGGTGAGGAAGTCTATTGCCCGTGTGTTGACAGTGATCCACCAGACCCAGAAGGAGAACCTTAGGAAATACTACAGATCAAAGCGTCTAAAGCCCACAGACCTCCGTCAAAAGAAGACCCGCGCCATGAGGAGGGCCCTGACACCCTACGAAAAGTCCATCAAGTCACGGAAACAACAGCGCAAAGAAAGACTCTACCCCTTGAGAAAATTCGCAGTTAAACAATAAATTATATGGTGTAGAGTTTGTTCGTAGTTTGTTATTTTTTTTAAAAAACAGACTTAGGCCATGAAAATTAATTAATAGGTTCTGAGGTCAAAAATTTCAAACTTTACCGTGGCAGTCATTTGAGGGGGGAGGTATCTTTTTTTTGATAGTTGTATTAACTGATATTCATACTTTTTTGTTCTTTTAATGCATGTATTTTAATTGTAATGTGGTCAACTCACTTTGAAAAATAGGAAATTATTGTGATTTCCCTCTTCAGAATGTCATTAGAATTGATCAATGCGGCAGTATTTGACCTGATGCGATGGTGCCTGAGAAATTGTCATTGACCTTATCCTTAAAAGACGGTAATTTTTGAAATTGGAAGTGCATTGTATTAAAGGGAATTGATTCATTTTGTTTATTCTCTATATTCTTTATTTGCACCTCTGAGCTGAAGGCCTGTCCTCTAGTGCCCACGCGATTGATGATTGGTGTTTTGCACCGAGTTGCCAATATTTCATCCATATTTGGGCGGGAACGATTGGAACCTTTATTATTCTCGAATATTCACTCTGTCTGCTCGATTGGTTTGGTAGGGTAAACTTAGAAGGCCTTCTCAGAACCATATATGGCATGCATATCTTTGTTTCTCTCACACAGCTTCTGATTGGCTAAAAATCTGTTTCTAAAACTGCATCGAAAAAATGTGTTTTTATGGAAAATGAGTCCAAATCGATTTTTATTTATTCAATGCAATATTTAAAATCTGGAATTGAATTTTTTTTAACCCACGCATTTTTGTAAATTTGCTCTTTGCAAGATTAGCATCTACCGTTTCATGGTTGAATTCAACTTTCCATTCGACGAGCCGAGTTTTGACGTTGCTTACGGAGATAGAAGAAAGCAAAGACATGCATGCCATATAAATATGGTTGTGTAGATAAATTATTGTAGAAGACAATGGTAATAAACAGTTTGCCAGTGCATTTCACCCGAAAGTGTAAATGATTGCGTTTCTGAGGAAAGGGTTATTGAGTATAATTCGGAGTTCTAAAGATTCCTTGTGTTATTATTATACTGTGGGTTAAAAATTTATTTCCGAAACAAGTGCCTGTGTTGTTAAGCCATTATTTACACACCTGCTGGTCCCCGCTGCCGTTGAAGAGCAGAGCAAACACAGACCTCCAAAATATAAGAGGTGGGATCAGGTGCCATGGATGCCTATACACCCGCCGTGTGCTCCTTGTCATGATCGGGAGATAATGGAAAAGAAGGCGGGCAGAATGCCTATAGCGTCAGCTATTAAGAAATCAATGAGTATTTAAATTATCTTCTCTTTATTGAAATTTATGAAATTATGAGAAAAAAAGCCTTTTCTGAGAGAAAATAAATCGCGTAATTTTTTTTTATAAAAAATATTAGATGGTAATCCCTAGCAATAAAAATCAAACATATCAATATCGTACTGCTTTGAAACTAACGCGTTAACCACTATGCAACATCGTTCATGGTGATTTTGGGCATTTAAATCACGTTTTTGATATGACCCTTGACTTAATGGACTTGAAGTACATCTCGGAAAGATGCGAATGTTTTGTCATAAAAGTGTACTTTTAAGGTATAGTGGGTCTTCCCTCCATGTTTTTGTAAACCAAAAAATGTATATTTTATTGCAAACTGTTAGGATCATCTTTAAAAAAAAAAATAGAGCGAAGACCCACTCCTATTGAAAAATTTTGTTAAAGTACACTGAGAAAATTATCGTTTTTGTTCTTTTTAGTGTGTGTATGCTTTTTCATAGGCTAATATTTTCAGTATTTGTGAGATTTTTGTAAACTGTAGAGATTTTACATTAAGTATACTTTAATATTAGATGAAATATCAAATATAATTTGGATATAATCGAGATTAAATTTTTCACTTTATCCGCCTTATCCCCCCATCTTCTGTAGTAGACGATTCAGTGTGTAAATTGTGGACTAACAATTACTACGAAAAACGTTGGTCAACATTTGACTTAAAATGATAGATGGTATTAATTTGCTGACAAGGTTATTTTATTGACAATAGAACTTACGAAATTCGACTTTTAAAAGGGACTGCTGATACACTGTTCTTTTTCAACTCATACGTAAAGCGGATCTTGCGATTTTCGAATCAGCTGAGAGATATATAAACCTGGCATACATAAAATATCCAAATATGAAACAGATGTGTCATGCAGACCCTGTGTATGGTTTCTATAAATTCAAGCTGATTTTTGTTCGAATTAATAATTAATGAAGTTTTTCAAATTACTACTACAGGATTTCTGCAAAACATCAACTTATGATTAAAAAAAAGTCAATATTTGTGCGTACATTCAAATTTCGAATGAATTATAAAAGCAGAATTTTCAATTTCCATGTTTTTAGAGATATATAAACCTGGCAAACAATTTTTCAAAATGCTACTCCTCCTACAGTTTTGCATTTCAATATAATTTGGCACACAAGTAGACTACACTAAGATACAGAATTCTGTGTATCGGTTTTTGATTTGGATGAACGGTGTTGCCATGGTTACTAAAAATAGAAATTTCTGTGAAATTCTTTCAAAATGCTACTCCTCCTACAGTTTTGGTCTGATTTCAATATAACTTGGCACACAAGTAGACTACACTAAGATACACAATTCTGTGTATCGGTTTTTGATTTGGATGAACGGTGTTGCCTTGGTTACCCTTTCCCCCCCCAGTTTTGGTCTGATTTCAATATAACTTGACACACAAACACACTGGTACATAAATCTATTTATCATTTTTGATTTCGATGAACTGTGTTGACGTGCTTCTAAAAATAGAAATTTCCGTGAAATTCTTTTGCTACTCCTTTTGGTCTGATTTCAATGTAACTTGGCACACAAGTAGACTACACTAAACATACATGTAATTCTTATGGTTTTTGATTTCGAAACGGTGTTGCTGTGGTTAAAAAAAAATTTCCGTGAAATTATTTCAAAATGCTACACCTCCTACAGTTTTGGTCTGATTTCAATATAACTTGGCACACAAGTAGTCTACACTAAGGTACATAATTCTCTTTATTAGTTTTTCACTTCAATGAATGGTTATTAAAAATAGAAATTTCTGTTTAATACACTCAAAATGCTTCCAAATACAGTTTTTTAATGTGGCATGCAAGTACTATATAAAGAGACTAAATATGCTGTTGAAAAGTTTCAATTTTTTTTTCTCTTCTTTTGCTATAAGTACAAACCACCAACTTACTATTGTTAATTCTTTATGCCACCATAATTGATAATTTGTGACTTGTGTAATACAGGTGACATCTGCTAATTAACTGTTATTCACAGCAAGTCTCTAATGATGTATCAATGAAAGTTATGTATCCATATATATCTGAGGTATTTCACACATCTTGAATAGATATGGAAAAAAATTATGTATATTGCCAAAAAAAGTCGACATCGACTTTGTTAAATCGTTGTTTTTTTTGCTAATTTTACGGAATATCAGTTGATCGTTGACTTCTAGTTAAAAAAAGAGGATAAGAAAAACGGTGAATCCAAAATACATTATTAGCAAAACCTAATTACTAGTATCAATACATGAGTTTGAAAAAAGCGTCACAAGATTGCATAACTAGTAGCTACCTTTTCACGCATCCTTTGTTTGAAATTCTGGTAAGATACATCATTAACCAACTATTAACAGAATCTTTTGTTAAAAACAGGTATTTGTTTGGAAAAAACGACAAATTGCTTAGAAAATCTAGTGATTTCCATTTTTTGTTGTAAAATCAGGTGTTTTGAGTTCAACATGCAAAAGCACTAGTATATAAATGTTCTTATATTTTAATGTACTCTAACTTGCTGACTTCTGTGCACGGATATTTTTGATCCAGCAATGACCACTTTAAACTGTTTGACGCCGAAGATATTTGTGCTGATTGGGGCAGCAGTTGTAACCACTGAGTCGACCAACGTGACAAATTCTTTAGGCTTGACGTACGAATGGACACCAACAACCACGTCAAACGAATATGAAAACCATACAACGAATCGGTCGAAAGATGAACCTAACTCAAGAAGTCTGTCTAGAGAAGAATCAACTTCACCACACTATGGACCAGCCAACAAAGTCACAGAGTCGACAGAATCTACGATATCTAGATCAACCGAGCCAAGCAGCACATCGAAGGACTATCTGCAGATGACCACGTCTAAAGAGATGGCAAAAATAAATTGGTCCGATTTCATGAGAAGTAACGAATCTCAAAACTTATTCCAGAAGCCGACGAACAGTTCTTTCTCACTTCTTGAGGAAATCCCTCCATTTGCTATTCCTTTAATGTCTTTTTTCATAGGTATTGTTGTGATAACGTTCAATTCTCTGGTGATGGTAGCATCGGTCAGGAACCGCGAACTTCGACAGAATACAAACTACAGCCTCGTTATGGGATTGGCACTGAGTGATTTTTTGATGGGGGTATGTGCGATACTTGTTGGGGTACGATTAAATTTTTCAAAATTTACTCGAATATTTGATTTGTGCATCGTAACAAATATTTTTGCTTTAGTAGGTATGAACATGTCGCTTTTTCAAACTTTATGCATCAGCCTTCATCGTTATCTCGTTCTCTCAGAAAATGACTGGGCAAAACACATTTTTGATAACAATCGAAAATATTACTTGTGCATCTTTGGGTGGGTTACATCATTCACTATGTACTCTTCTTTTATATCCCCCGAAGAGGACCGTACAAACTGTTTCTACAGAACTATTTTTGGTCCAAATATGATGACTATACGACTCATAACGTGCGTTTTCATTTCATCCTTCATGTTTCTGATAGCAATTTTTTATTCGCTTGCTATATACCAAGTACGACGACGATACGTGGGTACTTCGAATGTCTCCAGTACAGGACAAATGGAAGACCGCAAGAAAAAGCGAATTATGAAAGCTACTAAGTTGGTGAGCATGATCCTTTTGGCCCTTGTCGTATTTTCTGGACCGATGCTTATTTGCTCCT